TTTTTCTGAGTGAATCGGCCCACATAATCGACCAGAGTGAAAAAAGGTTGTTTTTTTCACATTTTGTTTGGTTATTATTTTCCCTACCGTCTGAGAGTATGGATTATTTTTATGAGAATATGTATTTGTTACTTACACATTTTAGAACGGGCGAAGATTCAGCAAACAACCATTCATTATGGATTTTTAAAAAAGATCAAATTTGTACGGTGACGCACCAGCTGTACGGTGACGCTATGCTTTGATGAACTAAATGAGACTAAGATTGTATGAAATGGAAACTCAGGAGTATGATCATTTGTTCATATATAGTGCATGGGCGCTACAGAGGGGTCATTCATCAAGCTATCGCAAGCACGTCGCAAGCCTGCGATGTCGCAAGGGCCCTTTTTAGCGATTACGTCCTATTCATCAATCTCGTGCGACTGCGATCGGTGGAATTTTCTGCGACGTCGCAGTGAAATACCCCTAAAATGGCCAAAATTTAAGCGACCGGTGGTACCCAGTCGCAGTGATTTTTGTTCAAGAAAAATGTCTTAAATTTATTGAATTTCTTTATGAAATTATATAGAAATTCTAGGACGTATAGTTCGATATTCGATCCATGATATATTATAATTGCAGAACATATGCATTATGTTTAACATGTTTGTGATGCTATCAAAAACAGCTAGTTTTCGGCTTGTATTTTTAAGTACTTCACCGTGCGACCGGTCGCAGTGATTGTGCGTTACACTTGATTTGAACCCACGTGACTCTACCCACTCAGTATCCATATTGTCAATCTTGCATGACATGTTACTAGTCTGATGGCAGCGTTTATTCGTTCAAAATGGCGCATCTGATGGTTGATTTCAACCGTAATGCTAGCTCTGCGTAGAGAACGCGTATTTAGAGATCGTACAGATCCTCTTCAAATATACGAAGATGTGGACCTTATTTTGCGATATCATATGCCCAGGTTAACTATTATAAAAGTTTACGAAATGATACAAGAGGATCTCGAAAGGATAACTAACACGTGTACAAGTACGTGCACGTGGTAATCACTGCGACTGGTCGCAGGGACATCGCAGACTGCGATTTGTTAATGAATAGGTCGCAGTCGCAGTCACTGCGACCTCGCACGGTGGTTGCAGTGTCTGCGACGTCGCAGTGATTGCGATAGCTTGATGAATGACCCCTCAGTTCAACGATATCTTCCACAGCTAATGGAAGGTTACTGGAAATGTATGATACGGTAAAGATCATGAAACCAAAAACTCTCTTCTTGCTATGTTATTGATGTTTTAAAACAAGGGATGTCACAAGTAAATCTCATCTTGCACGTGTGACTTTTTAGGATGAAAGATGCAATATCTTGCATGGGGTAAAAATGGCTGTGTAGGCTATCTTTGTTAGTCATATGAGAAAAGCCTGGTTTTGTTCAAATGATACCAAAGCATTACGTCAACTTTCAAATAGTTAATTCCATGAAAACTAAAAATATCGAAATTAATACTTCCTGTCCGCCATCTTAAATGCGAAGGTGACGGCTGTAACCTTCGCTTGATACTTACCAGTGATAATGTACATGTAGATCTGACGTTTCTATACCTCTTGTTCGAACAGTAAGCTTAGAGCACTTCATAAAATCTAAGGAAGCGTCACCGTACAGCTGATGCGTCACCGTACAGTTCTGATCTTTTTTAAATAAATACACTGAATGATTATTTGCCGAATATTCATCTGTTCTAGAATGTGTAGATAACAAATACATATTCTCATAAAAATAATCCATACTCTCAGACGACAGGGAAATTAATAACCAAACGAAAAGTGAAAAAACACCATTTTTCTCTCGAGTCGATTATGTGGGCCGATCCAGTCAGAAAAAATCCGAGCAGTGCTCGAAAAACTTTTATCATAATTAGAAAGTTAAAACCATTCCTAAGAGAATACTGTTTTCATTACACCCGAAATCGTATTTATTTTCATGTAATTAATCTTTTTAAAACCCTCATTATAGTTTTTGCTTCAACTTAGTTAATTTTCGTCACCGTACAGAAAACTGTACTACTGTATTTTTTGACGCTGTACGGTGACGCCTGCTTACGCGATGGTTAGGCGTGAATTATGTCAATCGAAATATGGACAACTTTCTATATGGTCATTTCCTATGACATCACCACATATGGTCATTTCCTATGACATCACCGCATATGGTCATTTCCTATGACATCACCACATAGTTAATGAACACATATTCAGCACGCATTCCTTCCACTTTGCTGATTGGTTGGAAAAGGGTCAGCGTGGTAGATTTGAAATCTTTTTTCAATTTTTGTGAACATGGATTTTAAAAGGGTAGCTTTGAAATCATGAAAAATTGGCATATTTTGACCAATTTTGGTCTAAATTGTGAAAATGAGAATTTTACACCCACTTGAAAAAAAATCCTGTGGAGAACACTGTCTTAAATAAGAAACAAGTGAAGTGGCAATATAAGCCTATTGCAGGACTCTTAAATCAGAAATCAATCTATTGAAGAAATACCATTATAGCATACACATTCATTATCTGTAACAAGCGGTTACACTTTTATAATTGTAACCATATGGTGACATATTGTAAATGGAGTGCTTTTTTGGTTTATGAATACAATACAGCTGTGACTATGTACAAAACTATTACATTGAAAAGGCTAAATGGTGAAGGCTACTATATGTGATATTCTAGTGTTAAATTAGTGTTAATCAACTCCAGTAGTATATACACGGGGGATAAGCAAAACGAGGGCGAAGCCACGGACTGCGACTCGCGTAACTTTACACCGCAGCCCAGCGCCAAAATGGAGGGACATCCGGCAGTGCCTTCTGCTTCTTCCGACAAAATAGAGAAATCCAGGAATTTTAAATGCTATCGTAGTGTCTAATCGGTGACCAAAATATTACTCTGTATCTACTGTTGGTCTGTAGATCAGAAAATAAGCAGTTGTCCAGATCAAGCTAAAACAGTAGCAAAGTTCTGATTTTACCTGTAAAATATGTGCATATTATTTAATTTACTATACACTTGAAAGGAGTTTTAACACGTTTCTGATATCTAAAGGTTAGTTGAGGCTCCGAGTATAATTCGTGAAAATGATTTGATAATAGAATGTGTTCATGAGGAGAAAATTAGATTCAAACTGCGCATTCATAGTGGACGCAGTCCAGTAAACAAAGCTATTTCAACAACGCAACACAGCCTCCATTGATATTCTAAGCAACGCAGTCCAGCCGCGAACACGAAATAGATAAGAAAGTGTAAACTATATTCCTACGCTATTATTGTTTCAGGAAAAGAAAGTCAGCATCCAGATTATCATTCAAAGTTACGTTGATTAACATATATCTATTACCTGAATCAATGTCCCAAATTGCTATATTGTATCGTTTAAGACCTAGAAATATGGCAATTCAATAGCGTATTTGGCAGAACAGTCGAGCGCAAGATGACAACGTAATATGTTTATTACAAACCAATTTGTGGATAGGGTTAAATATATAGATAATTGGATAGTGGTGAGACTTTTTATAAGAAGTAGAAATGCGAAACAATTAACTTTTTGATGATGCAATAAAAGCTGTTGGGGAAGGGTACATTAACTAGTATTTAAGATATCAGGAAAATATCAAATAATTGGAGAGTTGGTGAGTTAATGTAATTTTGGATGATCTTTCCAACAGTCCATCAATATTGCTAGCTACCATAAATTCATGATTTCAGCTGTATTTGACAGCTTGTACATATTTGCAGAATGGATTGAGACACGATGTAGGTCTATTAAAATAGCCCTTTATATTCAATTTTGTCCAAAGTTGCTCCATTTCGGCCACACCTGTACACACATTGTGCTATCTACCTTTGGCTGTGATTGCGTTCAGCTTCAGATATAAAGCAACACTGAGTCGCGGACTGCGTTGGGCAGATGGATGGACTGCGACTATCAAAAATTCCAATTTTCTAATTAATTGTACGTTTTCCGCTTACCAAATATCACACGAAGATGTAATTGTAACAACAGAACATGAATAATTATATTAATTCGATGTCATTTCTGATTCCTTTGTTTAAATCGGTATATTAGGGACAAATATTGACAAAATTACATTTTTTGTGGCAGATTTCGAATTCATGCTAAACTATTGGACAGCCGAGCACCAAGAATGCCATTGCAGGTGGAGTATGAATATGTTGATCACCGACTGGAACATACTAGCTATTCTGTAGAATATCCAAACCAATAATCTACCCCAAATCCTAACATGCCTTCCAAATTAAGTTTGGACTTACCGCCATTGTTCAGCTATAATGCGTTGTAATCTCGTTTTGAATTACGCGAGTCGCAGTCCGTGGCTTCGCCCTCGTTTTGCTTATCCCCCGTGTATATATAACAGTCATTCATTTTTGAACTTAAAATAGCTGACACCTCATAATAAATCTATGCCCTTTACATAAATATCTTAAGGTCATGTATTAAACTGCAAAATGATTACAGAGCAAAGAATTGATTTAGTAATTTTACTGAGATCTTATAGTTGTGTTCTCAAAGATTTTCTCTCAGTTGTGATTTAAAGCCTGACTTGGCTCTTTATTAATAAAAATACTCTGTCTTGGCAGGTGTTCATATTTCAAGGTTCCATAACATGTGAGGCAATGGGGATAACAAAATGGGGACTAAGAAAAAGTTTCACATTGAGAAGTGTGTATTTTTTCTCAAGTGGGTGCAAAATCCTCATTTTCACAATTCAGACTATGATTAGTCAAAATATGCCAATTTTTCATGATTTTTCTCATTTTCAAGTGGGTGCAAATGGATTTTCAGGTGGGTGCAAGCCTATATTTCAAAATCTCAGGTGGGTGCTGCGTCCACTTGCTTAAATGCTGGAGAGATCACTGATATATGTTTATAGACCAACATGTATAGATAGACCAATTTTATGTATATAATGATATATTTTTTATTGCAATTTCAGGAGCCTATGAAATCCAGAGCTCCGCAACTTCATTTAGAATACAGATTTTACAAGTCACTCGGACAAGCTGGTAAGTGTTGTAAAAATGTCTGCCTGTTCGTATCTGTACATATATACACAGGGTAGACAAAAAGTCCATATTTTTTATTTCGATATTATTTTAACTAAAATGTCGATAAAAATAAACAACATTTTTCGACATATTACACTGCTCTATGGTGCCTTGATGCAATCTCATAAAGAAAGAAATATTCTGATTTGATTACAAAAGGATCCAGGGTTCTGAATCCTATACCAGTCAATCTATTCATTCTGTCCCTGCTAATAGACTATAATGATGGTGTCCAATAGTCAACAGTGGAAAAACAAAGTTGATTTCAGTATGGTTTGACCCACATCCCCTCATCTTACGAAATTTTGAAATGTTGATTTGTTTTTCACTAAAATATTAAAATCGGAGTATTTAAGAATTAGAGGCGGCTATTGTGATCTACTTTAAAAGGTCATCTTAAACTTAAAATTTTTGACTTTTAAAATTAAACTTATCGTGAGCCTTTTGAAGTAGTCCTGAGTACTTCTTTGATATATTTATGATGAAGCAGTACATGTATATCGAAACAACAAAAACTTGGTCACTGTGGTTTATTTTGTTGATTTCCCATTGCAAGCAATGCTTAAAACAAAGATTGAGTTATGTTTTATACAAAACAGTCAATTGCCATGGAAACACAAGTCATATTGATTCGTTCATTTTTATTTAAAGATAGCATCAAAACTCAATGTAACATCCTTTATTCATAAGTTCCACTCGATATCTCTTTTATCGACAGTAAAACCTGTCTAATCGAAAACCACAGAGACCTGCCAAAAGTGTTTGAGTTAAGTGTTCACATTTGAAGGCTTCTTTCTATGTGAGTCAATGCAAGATAATAAAAATAGGACCATAAAAGGTGTTCATATTCAGACTGGATGTTGTTCAAGAAACACAGGTTTTACTGGATATATAATGCAGAATTTTGTTTCACTCTCGTATATAGAGTCATTTTCTGACAAGCATTTTTATTAACTTAGTAGAAATTTAGTTTTGGTACAGGTTTTACAAGAAACAATGCAGAATATTGTCTTTCGTACATAAGGGTCATTTTCTCTAAATCATTTTTTTATCAACTTAGTACAAAATGTAGTTGTGTATTAAGCCCCTGAACCCCCCCCCTCCAATACAACATTTAGGGTAAGTGGATAAGGAGTCCAAAGGAGTTTGGATTTAAAGACTGGAAGCATGACTCTGCAAAATACAATATTTACATTAACTCACTTAGTTCTATCATATTGGGAAATGGAGAGGTTCAAGCTGTAGGTTTTTAAGAGAACTATATAAACATGACTTATTATGCTCCTCTAAGGATTAGTTCTCCCATTTGTGTTATTAATTGCCTTATTGAGAAAAGGGAAAATAGGTGTTATTAGCATGGGCTTTCTATTGAATGCCCATGTTATTAGGTCCCTGGAAAAATCAAATGAGAGGAAGGGGGGGGGGCAGTAATCCGTAGGGGTCATATGTTGATTTTACAAGTACTCGTATCAAATACAAGTAAAGGTGGAGCTTTTTCTTCTCTAATCTAGAAAAATTAAACACTTTTTTCTGAGCACTATTTCTGATCCTGAATTTTTACTGGTCTTGAACCTCACAGTGGCTTTGGCTTAAAAGAAAGACAAGTAGCCTAGAGTCCTTTAACCATCACTGCCCAACTCAGAGTATTTATTCAGATGAACGGGCAAACTGCGAATGATCCGACGTGCCTGCTGATGATGTAATGACAGACTTTCACTTCGTTTTCTATAATGGCATCTACCAGTCTAAGTTTCCTGTTCAATTTGTAGCAATTCGTTGCAGTTGTTTATTTGAAAATGTCCCTCTACCCCTCGATCTTCCTAACTACCCACTTTGTGTAGGGAGGGGGAGGGGGGCAAGGGCGTTAATCGAGACTAGGGCATTCTGGTCCTGATCAAATTCATTCCTGAATAATTTCCAATCCTGAACAATTTCACATTCTGAACACTTTCTGGTCCTGAACACCGTTGTCATGTAAGGTTTCCTGTTTTGAACACTTCCTAGATATCATTTAAAATGAAGAAAATGATCTATTAGAACTACGCCTGTTTGACCTTTACAACCAATCATTCGTTCACCAATACAAATAAGTCGGTATATTTAACTATAGAGATCTATATTATATTGATATTTCAAAATGTTTATAGATCCTATTAGACTGATTCAATGAAAGTCTATGCATTTGTTTGACTGGACTTTGATAGGTTTATAAATATCTCCTGCGCATAAATGAAATATAAGAGCGATATATTTTATTTAACAAAAATTAAGAAATAAGAATTTTATACCTGTATTTTATATATGATAAAGATAATTATGAATGTAAATTATAGGCACGTCTAGAAATTCACGTTTCTCTGAGAATTTTGAGAGAAAATGAGTGAAATAAGGATGATTGAGGTCTATTTATGCACAGGTCATGCTTAGATTGACCAAACCAATCAATAATCAATAATAATATTCCTGTGTATAAAATGCCATGTTGGTTATACTTTGAAGCGTGAAATCAAAGAGGAAATTTCATTGATGGGTCTTTTGCAAATGTACCTTGCATATTTGTGAGGTAAACGAAAAATATAGATATATGCTGTATTTGCTCCTGCCATTGATTTTTCTTTATTTAGAACTTACATGTATGTATTTTATGGAACATCAATGTCTTCTCTCTCTCTCTAATGTATTTACAGTAGAACCTGTTTATTTGAACAAATCTTATCTAATTTGCTGTCTGCTATCTTCAAATGAAAAGCCTATGGGGGGGGGGCTTTGCTTGACTTTACCTGACACCCCCTCATAAACCCAGAGTCTAAGATAGTATTTCATATAGTATATCTGAATATGTAGTGGCTTTCCCCTATATGATTAGGTATGTTTATTTGAACAACTCTCTCTCTTCAAATGAAAAGCCTGGTGGGGGGGGGGGACTTTGCTTGACTTAACCTGACACCCCCCCCCCTCATAAACCCTTTGTCTGAGATAGTATTTCATATAGCATATCTTAACATGTAGTGGCTTTCCCCTATATGATTAGGTATGTTTATTTGAACAACTCTCTCTTCAAATGAAAAGCCTGGTGGGGGGGGGCTTTGCTTGACTTTACCTGACACCCCCCTTATAAACCCCGAGTCTAAGATAGTATTTCATAGCATATTTTAACATGTAGTGGCTTTCCCCTATATGATTAGGTGTGTTTATTTGAACAACTCTCTCTTCAAATGAAAAGCCTGGTGGGGGGGGGGCTTTGCTTGACTTTACCTGACACCCCCCTTATAAACCCCGAGTCTAAGATAGTATTTCATAGCATATTTTAACATGCAGTGGCTTTCCCCTATATGATTAGGTATATTTATTTGAACAACTCTCTTCAAATAAAAAGCCTGGTGGGGGGGGGGGGGGCTTTGCTTCACTTCTTTACCTGACACCCCCCTCATAAACCCTGAGTCTAAGATAGTATTTCATATAGCATATCTTAACATGCAGTGACTTGCCCCTATAGTAACATGAGCAAATTATGAGTTACATCAGAGAATCAGTCTCATCCGTCAAAACGCTGTTTGCAAGAATTAGCAATAGAATTTCATTCCCTTGGAGATTTTAGGTCTCGTTTTACGGACTCTCCTTTGTTACACGTCATGCCTTTTTGATATATTTACTTATTAAGTTCGATGATATATTTGATTTTTCCATGTTTGTATATAAATTGCAGTATGCACTCGCTTCTCTATACTGTTATGACTTCTTATTCTGTATGTGAATCTATTTTTCAAGCTGTCTTTTAGATTAGATATGTAGACAGGAATGCTTTTCAAGGGAAAATATTAATTATTTCTTGATCAAGCCTGTTAAACGGGAGCCAGCTGGAAAAAATCAATTTGTCATGCCTTAAAAACCCTACCTTGGATGCTATTCACTGTGCCTATATATCCAAGTACATATTTTATCTTTGGTAATTTTAGTGCTATGAATATTTGTGTTTTTGTGATTCTGGGGTACATAGAAAACCATTATTTACTTTTTGACAAAAAAAGACTTGACTAAATCGTTACGATGGTTCCAAAAATGGACCCCTGCGTAACATGAGTGCAAATGGTCCTCTCTCTGTATCTGTATAATGGCTACCCTAAAACTTAGAGGCCATAAGTAGAATTCGAGCCTCTGAGAAAGGCAGTTGAATTTACAGTTTTGATGCAGAGAAGATAATTATGGCTTCAAATAATTTTTATGCATTAACTTTGTAATTCTATTAAACTGAAAATACAAGAGTTGAATAGGTTAAAGGTGGGGTCTGAATACCCAGCTGCGAAGGCTAAATATGAAAAAATGAATGTCAACAATAAATAGAAAGATGCAGTCCTTTTTACAAATAGTTTTCTTTATTGTCATCACCAGAAAATTGTGACACATTGTTATTGTTTTTAACTTTTTTGTGAAATGCCTGTAAATTTTTCCCATTTGTGAGTTGAACAATGATACATGGCAAATCAATGTAACTTTGGACAAGCTTTAAAATGATATATGATACATACTATGGAGACATTGGTAAATGTCTGCCTAGCGGGGCCCCATACTTTCGGGACACCCTGTATGTATTTTATAATATCTACCAATTATTTTTTCAAGAGAAGAGTAGATAGTAAATATAACATTGTGACAAATACCGATTCATACAGTTATAGTGTTTGTTGGGAGTTGCTACCCCATGGAGTTGTCGTTTTCTAGTTTGTTTTTTTTTATTAAAAAGTCCAGATCAAAGAGCTTTTCTTACTGTCTGAGATGGTGTAGTTGAGTTACATTTAGAGATGCGAAGCCATATTATCTTCATCTTTTGCACACAATGGCATAACTTCTGTCTTCTATTCATGAAATATGTTATCTTTATCTATTTGTTGCTCAACCATCTTTTTGTGACATATCACAGAATAGTCAGTTTACATGTGTATTATCAGACTCTACCATAAGTTTTGTTGTAGTATCATTTTTCCATAAGGGCCCTCTCTCAGACCCTTACTCTCAGGTCTTTCCATTATGGATACTTTGAACATTTATGGTACAACAGAGGCTGATGGGTACCTGTGGGTCTACGTAGAACAAACATTCATACTCTTGGAAGTGAGAAAAAACAGTCAAGGCATAAGTTCATGCTCGGGGAACATTAGATATAATCAATATAAGATCAATAGAATTACATTGACTCACAATTCTAACTAGAAATTGCATATTACCAGTTAAGTAAAACAGCACAGAGGATAGAGGTCACATATTGAAATACAAAAAAGAGTAGAAAAGAGTGAAATCAGCAAGGAATAAGGTAAACAGGCATGTAGTCAACACTCTAAATTATATAGAAATGCAAGAAAATCAGACACTTTATTCAAATTTTAGAGAGAATTTTTGTGAAATAAGCATGAGCAGACGGACAATTTATGGGGAACGGTAAATCAGAAGTAATCATTAGTCTATTCTAAGCTACATCAGTAATAAACTGATTTCATTACTTCTACCCATGTTAGAAGTGTCGCTGAACTTGGATGGAAACGTATTTCACTCCAATTTTCTGATTGAATAAGAAGAATGCCGACTGTTTGCTTTATTCTTTGCTGATTCTGCTCTCGAGTTAGTTTGACATTAATTTGACTTAAAGCAACATGACAATGATTAACTAAAGATTAACTAAAACCAAATAACTTAATGTTACTTTTATAGAAATATGGTAAGTTCGGTGACATGACATTATAAATGTGTATATCATACTTAAACAGGATGTTATAAGCCTTACAAGTCATTTACCCTTTGCATTAGTTCGACTTCACTTCTTAAAAGAAACCTTCGTAGTTTCGTAGTCCATACAACTATACTCTGTGTGCAGGGTAAAAGTGATAACTGAACGAGTCTCGGCAATCAAAACAACTAAACCCCCACCCTTTGGAGGAACTTATTGAAAAATAAAATATAAAACTACTAAATTGTAAAGCACATAAAATGTCATTGATCGCAATTCACTTTTAAAAACACAATTGTTATTGTTTGTTTACTATAGAGGTAAACAAAATGTCTGTTTTGTGATTTATGTGTACTGTATATTGCCCAGAAGTACTCTTTTGTAACAAAGTGTTATGAATGATTTTAGATTAAAAATAGGGTGAGAAAGAGTGGTATAAGCAAGGAATGATATAACCTGACTTGTAATTAACACTCTAATTTATATAGAAATGCTAGAAAATGTGACACTTCATTCTTTATGAAAGAAATAGCGTGATAAAAACATTAAGTGTTTTTATCACACCATCGGTGGTATAGTTGTCGTGATCGTTTAACGCGATCGTCCCACTTTTTGCCATCGCCATTTCAGGAAAAGCACTCATCGGATTTTCTCCAAATTCACACACATGAGAAGATATCAACTTCTAGAGCTGATAAACTTTTGGGGCAGCCATCTTGTTTTCTGGTGGCCATTTTGGAGGCTTTTCAATAAATCTCGTTCACGTCATGTGCCTTGTTGCTTTAGATAGTTATAATAAACACTTCATATTTGTGTTACATTTGAAAACATTTACATAAATTATTATACACCCATTCTCCTATTTGTCAGTTTGAAATCAAGGTTTGGGAAGTAAGGTCTATGACGTCATCAAAACTGTTTTGTTAGGTTTAGATGACAATAAACAAATGTTTTAGTTTAAGAAATCAGCTGTATTTACAGTAAAACCTGTATGTCTGAAGACCTATCAAATCTGAACACCTATCAAAAACACACTTTGGAACTATACTTGATAACCCGAACACGTCTCCTATCTCAACACTTTCAATGTGAACACTTTTCGGTTCAATTTGTTAAACAAAAATGGGAAACCATAATGGGATACCATAATATGAAAATGTGAAAACACATGTACTTGTACTATACTTGTTAACTCCCATTGACTCAAATATTTAAAAAACCTTGAAATGTGAACACCTGCTAATCTGAATACTTCACAATGAGAATACTTTTTCTTGGTTCATGATTTGTTATATCACCCATTGACACTATGGGATACCATAATTATATATTGCCATAATAGATTACCATTATGGGAAACCATAATAGATTACCACAATGTAATACCATAATGGGATACCATAATGGGATACCATAATATATTGCCATTATGGGAAACCATAATGGGATACCATGATAGATTACCATTATGGGAAACCATAATGAGATACCATACATGCATATGGAGAAGCATATCAGGGATTTCACTAGAATTTCTCACAACAGGCTAAATAAATGAAAACAACAAGCAAAATTAATGAAATCATGAATTTAACATGGAAAAGTTGAAAAGTCCCTTAAAACAACAGGCAATTTTGTGAAACAACCAGTGAAAATTGCCTGTTGCCTGCTGCTATTGAAACCCCTGCATATGGTGATGCATCTAAACCAAGAGAAGAGTGTTTATGTATATTTTGATCAAGATTTTAAAAATATTCTTTTCTATTTTCAGAGGGTATTCCGCAGGTATATTACTTTGGACCATGTGGGAAATACAACGCCCTTGTGCTAGAATTATTAGGCCCAAGCTTAGAGGATCTTTTCGACCTGTGCGACAGGAAGTTCTCTCTAAAGACAGTACTCATGATTGCAGTTCAGCTAGTAAGTAAAACGTCTGTCAGTTTATGCTTTTTCCCCTATATCTCTCTAAAATTTGAATGAAGTGTTTGATTTTCTTGCATTTCCATACAATTAAGAGTGATGACTACATGCCTGTTTACCGCACTTCATGCTGATTCCTCTCTTTTTCACTCTGTTTTGCGTTCTAAAACTAAACCATCAGATGATTTTTTATGTTTGGCGCTATATTTTCTTAAGAGTCGTTTGACGAGTTTTAGAAAAACAAGATCATTAAGTTATCATAATTGCAAGAATTCTAGATAAATTCCTGGAATTATACATGCACAAAACCATTTGCACTTTCATATATCTTATCATTCCTTGGCTATTTGTTTGATTTGAGATGGTTTATGGCATAGTTGTCATGTCGGAGATACAAAATTTTAAGAAATAAAGGGGAATCAGCAAGGAATAAAGTAGAACCATATATGGGGTAATTTTGACACCTTGTTGTTTATTTGCTCTAATTTCCATTCTAAGGGGAACATTGAAAATCTAATTTTTTAACAAGAAGTGTCAAAGTTATTCTATTTCTCATGTCGACGTTACCCCACACATCAAAGCTACATCCCTTTGCCCAAGATAATGATGAATTATTCATTGATCAGATAATATGTACCAAATACCCATCTTCTGATTACTTCTAAATCTCAGATATGATTTCATGCCATCGGATAAAACTCATATGTTTACCCTAAAACATTGGATAACAGTTGTTTATTTACTTCCAGATAACACGTATGGAATACGTTCACAGCAAGCACCTCATTTACCGAGACGTGAAGCCAGAGAATTTCCTTATCGGGCGACAGTCCAACAAAAAGCAACATATTATAAATATTATCGATTTCGGGCTTGCAAAGGAGTATATTGACCCTGAAACTAAAAAACATATTCCATATCGGGAACACAAAAGTTTGACGGGGACTGCAAGATATATGAGTATAAACACACATCTTGGAAAAGGTATGTATGTCAACCCTGTTGTCATAGCGATAATGTTTCTAAAGATTTAAATTCTAATTGAAATGAAAAATTTAAAGTTTAATTATCATCTAAGACTGGTATAGAACTAGAACAAAATAGATTTTGTAAAATGCTCTCAGAATCTGATGAGATTGGATGGTTTGAACAATTTCCCTGTTCTGTGACACATTGTCACTTTAATAATTTCCCATAATACAGATTTTCAAAACCTTAAACTTTCAAATATATGTAAACCTCACCTCTACATCTCCTAAAAGAAATAGGACAGTCCTCGTTATAAGACCAGTATTTTTTCTGTTAATCAGGGTTTATAATATTGTTACTTATTATGTGTGTCTGTCCCTTCTTAAATCACTCCATTTCTCTCTAAAATTTGAATAAAGTGTCTGATTTTCTTGCATTTCTATACAATTTAGAGTGTTAACTACATGCCTGTTTATTTTATTCCTTGCTAATTCCTCTCTTTTTACTATTTTCCTCATATCAAAATGTCACCTCCATGAATTTTACTCTCGGAGGAAGATATCATATGTTCCTTTATTACCGAGGATTTCCTCCCATAGGCAGGATCAGATACCTTGGGATAATATGCAACATGTGTCTTGTTTTGAAATGCAAAATAAAGCAGAATTTTGTAGAATTAGCAAGGAATAAAGTGAATAAGCATATGAACAATACTCTAAATTATAACAATATATCTGAAAATCAGAGACTTTATTCAAATTTTAGAGAGAAATGAGTGGAATAAGGATGAGCAGACGGACATTTGAACTGCTGTATAATCCTCTCGTTATGATGAAGACCTTTGCTTAAAATGTAATCAAGTCATGGAATTTCCTTGCCATTTCTCTCAAATAACAATAGAATACTTATTAAATTTCAAACATATATTTATAACTAAAATTGTAGTCCCTGTACAAATTTCTTGTATTTCTTGTTTCGTCCTCTTTGTCACATGTGTGTCACAATTCATTGTATACACTTACAGTTTTATATAAGTTCTGCGACTCTTTAATCTCCTGGGATTCAAATTATTGCTCGTAATGATGTCGCAACAAAATATTGCCGGCATTATGAGTGTTGTAAAGTCTAAAAGAGATGAAGAGGTATCAGATAGGTTGGAAGTAAATTAGCAGACGTAATTGTTTTGTAATGTTCTGTTTTAATCTTTGGTTTGTACAATAGAATCTCTCTGAAGCGAACACTTACAAACGCTTGAACTGGCTGGTAATGTTCTCATTTATTTAGACATTTTGAGAAGAGTGAATCTATAATACATCCGAAAATGGGATCTAGGACTTAAAAATATTCCTGTTCCAAGGTGTTCAATAGTGTTCACTTTAAATTGGAAAAATGTTGACCACATTTAAGGTTGAACTGATAAACAAAGTCTCTCATCTTTGGTCATATCATTATGATACCCTTGTCTCCTAGACACACATATTACCTCTTAAAATGTGTTCAAATGTTGCTTATATATCTGTTTATCGCTATATTTCAGAGCAAAGTCGTAGAGACGACTTGGAGGCACTAGGTCACATGTTCATGTACTTCCTCAGGGGGAGTTTGCCATGGCAGGGCCTAAAGGCCGATACTTTAAAAGAACGATATCAAAAAATCGGAGATACTAAGAGGGCGACGCCCATAGAGGTCTTATGTGAAAATTTTCCAGGTTTGGTCATTTTTAAATTATTTATATTAATTTCAATGTGATGTGATAATTATTGATTTCACTTGTTGGTTATATTTAATCTGTAGAGTATGTCAAACATTTCTGTTACCTCCATTAAATCTGTCATCGAGAATACTCACAAAATTGGCCTTTTCCCAGTGTCTGCGAAATAGAATATATAAATACAACGTATATGCCCAAAATACTTTTTAATGGAAAACAGCAAATCACTGATTCAGATCCAGTAGAATGGAACTTCGATCTCATCTTTGAAAAACATAAACTTGAATAATAATGTATGCACAAGTACCAATGCCACAGGGAAAAGACTAAAAAGTATTTCAAAAATAGCGAGAAAATGAAACATGAGTGAGGTCAGTCATAATGAAAAACAAACCCAAATATCCCATATTGTATTTCACATGTAAAGAAACAAGGTCTAATACCCAATAATAAAAATATTTGAAATTCTTTTTTGTAGAAGAACTAGCCACTTATCTACGCTATGTGCGACGGCTAGACTTCTTCGAGACTCCGGACTACGACTATCTCCGTAAATTGTTCCTAGATTTAATGGAGACGAACCATTGGGATTGTGACTCGGAGTTTGACTGGGTAGGAAGACAACTGGTGTGTACTTTCTTTCTTTAACACTATGGAACATGGCTCCCTCTTGTCCCGTCAACATAACGTCTCACCCTAACCCCGCTCTAGATCCCTTAATGCTCTCAACCCCCATCCTGTTGTTCCTAACCCCAATGCAGGTAATCCGCTCTGACCCTTGCCTATGCAATATTAATTTTACCGTCTCATATAATTGAATTATTCTAAAATCTCAAGGAACATAATTCCTTTCTTTGTCTTGAACACTCATCCCATGATGTTCCTAAATAAATGATATTTCTAATTATTCTTAAACCCAAATAACAAGGCTCACTCTTTATTATACCCTCCCCCTCTCTACTTCTCCCCCTCCCACAACAACCCTTTGGCTTTGGTGGCCCCACTAATCCTCTAGGTTGTACTCTTTACACCCTCAATATCCCCCATATACAGGAAAGGTATTTTATGGGAACCTTTAATATTATAGATGGAGCTTTGGTCTATATCTAACACCATTTCTTCTTTACTGTCTAAAACATGTTGTTAAATATTTATTTATTTAATATGTCAGTAACAGCACTTGACTGCCAAATCTACAGTGTAACACTCTTGAATAGGCTCATTGCCCAACCCTGATAAAATAAACAAAAATAAACCAAAATAGATCAATCCTCTAACTTGCATGATCTTTGAATTTGATTCCAACTTTTGCTCTTGTAGTGAATGAAAATTAATAGTAATCAAAATTAAGAATTGATTTAGAAATAAGTTGATAACTAGAGGAGCAATTGGGCATTTTTAAACTACAATATATGCAGAAATTCATTTTAATATCCAAGTCTGTTGATGGAGCATATTTTAGGGTTATTCCATTTTTGGAGAGGGGGGGGGGGGCATTTTAGAGTTGGGAAAAGGCAAAGAGCACCTTTAAATAATTCTTTTCATTAAAATAATATCATGTAATAAATTAATATTAATATCATATAAGAGATTCCAAGTAAATACTCAAACAAAATATAAAATATTAGATGAAATATTTAAGCTTGGAATCTCTGAATCAGTCTTTACAGTGTTACAAAGTGAATTTAAATTCCATCATTTCATGATTTCATGATCTCCGTAATTTCTTTTGATTTTGATTATTTTTTCATTTCAGTTGCACTCATACTTCTGTTAGTTAACCTTTAAGTTTTATTTTAATCTATTCATTTTGTTTAGTAGTATTTATTTTCTTTTTTTTGTTGTACATTGCTTTCTATGCTTCTTATCTGTTTGTTCATAGTTTTGAAACTTATTTTCTAATAAATTGATAGAATATCTGTAATTCTTTGAATAAGGCTTGAATCTTTTAAGGTTTAAAAAACATGTCAGGCGTCATGCAATGGTACGAGCCTGAGCGAAATCATAGCTATTTATAAAGACAGGGAAAAAAAGTGACGTGAAATTCAAGGGAAATTCAAGAGTTGAACCAAACAGGTCACGGCTAAAATGTGTGTCTTATTGTCGAGAACATTTGAAAATGTTTTAAAGTTTGCATATGAATAATACTGCTTTAACTTAAATATGACCTATAAATTCATCATACTTAGTATTCAATAAGAATAGATGAAAACATTTGTTACATCTCTGGCACGGTTTCTGCTATTATGCAGAGACTTGGAGTCGAGAAGTAGAGACTTGGACTTAAGAAGTAGAGACTCAAGAAGTAGAGACTTGGACTAAAGAAGTAGAGACTTGGACTCAAGAAGTAGAGACTCAAGAAGTAGAGACTTGGACTAAAGAAGTAGAGACTTGGACTCAAGAAGTAGAGACTCAAGAAGTAGAGACTTGGACTAAAGAAGTAGAGACTTGGACTCAAGAAGTAGAGACTTGGACTCAAGAAGTAGAGACTTGGACTCAAGAAGTAGAGACTTGGACTCAAGAAGTAGAGACTTGGACTCAAGAAGTAGAGACTTGGACTCAAGAAGTAGAGACTTGGACTCAAGAAGTAGAGACTTGGACTCAAGAAGTAGAGACTTGGACTCAAGAAGTAGAGACTTGGACTCAAGAAGTAGAGACTTGGACTAAAGAAGTAGAGACTTGGACTCAAGAAGTACAGACTTGGACTCAAGAAGTAGAGACTCAAGAAGTAGAGACTTGGACTCAAGAAGTAGAGACTCAAGAAGTAGAGACTTGGACTCAAGAAGTAGAGACTTGGACTCAAGAAGTAGAGACTTGGACTCAAGAAGTAGAGACTTGGACTCAAGAAGTAGAGACTCAAGAAGTAGAGACTTAGACTCAAGAAGTAGAGACTTGGACTCAAGAAGTAGAGACTTGGACTCAAGAAGTAGAGACTTGGACTCAAGAAGTAGAGACTTGGACTCAAGAATAAAACATTAAACATTAAAAAGAAAACCTAGTGGACGTTTCTAGTTAACGATTGGAAATCAACTTTTTCTAGACCTATCTCTGATGCTAAATCAAATGATATCTGATTATGCATTTCAGTACACTGATATTGGAAATTTTATCATCAGTTAAACAAATTGTTTACACCTAGTTGTTGACATTAAACATTTGTTGACAACATCAGCTCATAAATATTTATAGCTCTTTCAAAATATGATGAAGTCCATGTTTTCATATGAGAAATAGATGAGAAAATATATGAAATAGCGAGGAGTAAAATGAACAAGGTTGAATCTTATATTTTAAATTGTATGGGAAACTCAAGAATTTAAGCGCTTTTTCAAATGTTTGAGAAATTAGCTCGAATTCAGTCAGATGTTTCTATGCAAGAATAAACATATTTTCATGGGAATGCAAGCGAAGACAGTTGATCGAATGGAAAATTCTAATAGTGTTAGGTTAGGCCAGAGTAAATAAGTTGTGTTTAGCATACTGTATATCTTGCTAATATATTTCATAATTAGTTCAGAAAATGTTCATTGGTTAGATTATTATTTCAAAATTGTATTACAAAAAGGGCTATATAATATATAAATCAATGGTAGTAAATTGTTTGCCATATTCTGAGGGTTTTAAAAGAAACATTCTTTAACAAAATAGAGAAATGTTAAACATAGATTTATTTGTCTAGCCTAAGACCTAGCAAACTCATTTTATAGAATGGGATATACTTGTCTTCTATTATAATCTTGTCTTCTAGATAATTTCCACAATGATTTTCAATTTTTTATGAAATTATAAATGTTGTAAATAATTTTTAGTTGTAGTATTTAATTTTATTACAAATTATCTATTTACTTCCTTTCCAGATGAGATAATACAGTTTTGTTCAAAAATTATATTTTTTCAGTCAACTCCTGTTGATCCTAGTCCAAGTGTGACATCACCAAACAGAGACGATAAGAATAGAGGGCGCCACACAAGTGAACAAAATAAGGTAACGTCAATATTCAAGTTCAGATACACCCACAATGTTTTCATTAATTTTTCAACATCGATTAAAACAATACAAAAATTTAATGTCAATTTGATTTTGTTAATTTGACTTATTTTCTTGGTAATGATAAGGGAAAATTTAGCCCATAGATTTTACTTGATTAGAGGGTATATATTCAACTATAAATACCGTGCCTTACCTTCTTGGCCTGGTACCATACAGGATTTAGCAAATTATACTAATCAGTCATTGGGGTTCAAATCTGTATAACATCAGTAACGTACTAATTAAAGAATATCACTCGGATGATGATTTTATGATGAATAGGAATCTAGACCTACTGGAGCTTGAAATTTTACTCACTTTAGCTATAATTACTTCATTTGATTTCATCTAGTATTAAACTCTTGTCCTTATATCATTGTTCTGTATTAGTGCTTCATTTTTTGATTTCTTACAATTTTTATTTGAATTTTTTCTTCTTTTTTTTCTTTTATTCATTGTTATTTTTTAACTTGTTTTTCTTGATTCTGATATGTTGTGATAATAGTGGGCTGTATAGCAAGGTTGGTCGGGGTCGGGAGCTGGGGATAATTTTATTGCTTAAATATAACCATATCATCATCCTACATTAGAATCCACTCAGTCTAACATCAATTTCTGGTACGAAAGTTGTCATTTTTGAGTTTTACCCCCCTTGACGACAAATTCTTGGGGATACTATGACAAATGCTTATAACTAAACAAGTATTTATTTGATCATCTTCATTTTTGGCATGGGTAATGAACAGGTAATTAAAAGTGAAATTTGAAAAATTAAGCAATAAAATTATCCCCAGCTCCCGACCCCGACCAACCTTGCTATACAGCCCACTATAATGTTCATCTCTTAAAACAGAAGAGTCCAATGAGAATAGAGGACATCGAAAAAAATATTGGGCATAAATTTTAGATTTCAAACTCCTCAGGAAAAGTATTGAAATGTTGACATTTAAGGAAAATGAGGTTATCGTATTATCCCAAACATCTTATGTTAGACATTCAATAGCTTTGTGATATTTTCTTAAAGTTTTAAGGTTGCTTCTGTTATCCCATACATCTAATGTTAGACATTCAATGGCTTTGTGATATATTCTTAAGCTTTAAGGTTGCTTCTGTCACACACATTTAATGTTAGATATTCAATGGCTTTGTGATATATTCTTAAGCTTTAAGGTTGCTTCTGTCACACACATTTAATGTTAGATATTCCATGGCTTTGTGATATATTCTTAAGCTTTTAAGGTTGCTTCTGTCATCCCCCACATCTAATGTTTGACATTTCATGGCTTTGTGATATATTCTTTAGCTTTTAGGTTGCTTCTGTCCCACACATCTAATATTAGACATGCAATGGCTTTGTGATATATTCTTTAGATTTTTAGGTTGCTTCTGTCATCCCCCACATCTAATATTAGACATGCAATGGCTTTGTGATTTATTCTTTAGCTTTTTAGGTTGCTTCTGTCATCCCCCACATCTAATGTTAGACATTTCATGGCTTTGTGATATATTCTTCAGCTTTAAGGTTGCTTCTGTCACACACATCTAATGTTAGACGTTCAATGGCTTTGTGATATATTCTTTAGCTTTAAGATTGCTTCTGTCACACACATCTAATGTTAGATATTCCATGGCTTTGTGATATATTCTTCAGCTTTAAGGTTGCTTCTGTCACACACATCTAATGTTAGACGTTCAATGGCTTTGTGATATATTCTTTAGCTTTAAGATTGCTTCTGTCACACACATCTAATGTTAGATATTCCATGGCTTTGTGATATATTCTTTAGCTTTTAGGTTGCTTCTGTCACACACATCTAATGTTAGACATTCAATGGCTTTGTGATTTATTCTTAAGCTTTTAATTTGCTTCTGTTATCTCCCACATCTAATATTAGACATTCAATGGCTTTGTGATATATTCCTAAGCTTTAAGGTTGCTTCTGTTATCCCAAACATCTAATGTTAGACATTCAATGGCTTTGTGATATATTCTTTAGCTTTTAGGTTGCTTCTGTCACACACATCTAATGTTAGATAATCAATGGCTTTGTGATAAGCTATTTTACTTTTGGTAGATACAGGGTGTCCCGAAAGTATGCCCCCCCCCTAGGCAGACATATTCCAGTGTCCTCATAGTATGTGTCATATATCATTTTAAAGCTTATCCAAAGTTACATTGATTTGCCAAGTATCATGGTTTAACTCCCAAATAGGAAAAAGTTACAGTCATTTTAAAAGTTAGTGTTTTGTCAAATTAAAGTTCAATTTTACACCACATTACTAGTCAATGAGTCCCCCCTTGGCAATGTTCACAGCAGCAATTATTTTCAGATATGACCTTAAAAGCCCTTCAAATAGGGGTGTGGAATTTTATAACCCTCTTAAAACCTGTTAAGGCACTTAAGAAGAGTTTCCTTAGAGTTTCTACCCTCACCGTTCTATTTTTCCAACTCAATATCCATCCGACCTGAAAAGAATTGCTTCTTTTAACCTTCTGCATGCTAACTTATTTCTGCAAATATATCCCACGCGACTGACTTATTTTTCAAAGAGTGCAAAAAATGATATGCCTGGACTAAATAATCAATATCTCAATAACTACTGAATGAATCTGGAGAAAATTTTCACAAAGGAAAGATACACTGGTCTGGCTCATAAAAAAATGTTCTCATGAATTTTCTTCGTACATAAACATGACTGGGCATAAATATACCATGAATACTCCTCCAGAATCCGCCGCTTCGTCCCTGGGGAGATTCAACGTCTAGTCAGAATCCAAAACTGAATTTGCAGCGATCGAATGTTCATCTTTTCACTTCAGAAAATATTCTAGTTTCTATTTTTTATGACCATTATCGGCTTCCAAGAGCCTAAAGAGCTCGAAATCGCAATCCATTTCCTCCACATTTCCGTTGTGATCGTATTTGGCCGCCATTTTGTACGATTTGTTCACTAAAAACGACTTAAACACTGTTTAAATTGTTGAATTGAGAATTATTTTACAAAAGATCGCCATTTCTAGGTCAACAGGAAGTCCCCACGTAAGGACTGAATAAATCGGGCAATCTAATTGGATCATAAGAACGGCGGGAAAAAGTAAAGTTTTTGAAAGTTTAAAATGAGTTTAAACTGAGTCGACCGGAATCGCCGGCAGTTGCCGGGGATAGTTAAGAACGGGCGACTCCGCTCGCCGGTAGCATGCTAAAGGTTAAGATGGCCCGGAAAGACATATTGACTAGTGATTTGGTGTAAAATTGAACTTAATTTTGACCAAACACTAAATTTTGAAATGCCTGTAATTTTTTCACATTTGAGAGTTGAACCATGATACTTGGTGAATCAATGTAACTTTGGATACTAGTTTGCTTTGAAATGATATATGACACATACTATGACGAAACTGGTATATGTCTGCCTAGGGGGGCCCCATACTTTCGGAACACCCTGTAGATACACAGGTTTTATACTATATAATAGTCATGTATGAGGGTTCTGGTGGCTCCCTCTGCTACCTTTCTTATCATTTTCTTTGCATGCTTTTTCTTGCATTGCATGTTTACTTAATTAACGCCGACAGTATTTCTATATGGATATTGTCCATTATGCTTTGTCAGGCCCAGAAACATTCAAATTAATTTTAAAAAATCAAGTATTTGATCAATTATCAATTACTTTTTCATGGTGTTTATTTTTCTTGGTGTTAAGTTGCTCACATTTGTTACTATCGTGCTCAAGTTTTTTTTTATCATTTCTTCATTTCATTACCAGTTTAATTTCTCTCCCCTTTTATTACTGTTTTGTTACTTCTCACATTGATTCAGCTTCAAAACAAGTTTAATTGTACATTTATTATGGGTAGCTTTAACAAATGAAATCTGGTCTTCAATTTGATTTTCTATTCCAAAGTTACAAATTTTATGAACTAATATACCATGGTGGAGTAACGGTGTCCATAACAGTAGTTACTGAAGCAAAATGGATGCAACACTTATAGGCTGAAACATTGTCTAATGTGAATGAATTGGCGAGTGCTAGTATATTGGCGAGTGTTAGTGCACCCAGTAAATGCAAAAGATGTAGGGTCTTTGTTAAAGGAATTCAAAAGGATAGAGAGGGTAAAATGTTCCGGATATCTCTGTAGTTATTTGCATCGCTTTTCAATAGCTTGAAATGCTTATACTGTTTTCACACATGGCAAAAACAAATACATAAAAATCATGAACATTAAACTGGTTGTAGACACACATATTGTAGACACACCTAACCAGTTTAAGACCAAAAATTCAACAGCGTATGCATCAATCGATCTGAGACTATGCATATTGATACTGTAGTTTGATTGGTTCATCAAAATACTGCATGCCAAGCCATGTGTGAGCCAGTGATGAATTAACATGCAACAGTAAAATAACATTCATTTATTTCAGCTGGATAGATAACATTACAACTATGAACCTCCTTCCAATCTATTTATAACCCCATTCTCTTTATGAACCCTATAATAATGACAGAATGACCCAAACAATAGTTTGGTCGATTTTGTAGAGATTTGTTATTTTTCATTGCAAATTTCAAGAATTTTAGTAATAAAGGGTTAAATTATATCAACAGCCATGAAGCTCATAATTCTCCTCTTAAGTTCAGTAGAAAAGGAGATGTCTTAGAATATGACTCACTGTTAGAACTTGGAAGCAAAAGGAGCAAAAGTGAGCATGTGATTTTAATCCAAGCTTGGGAAAGAAATAATTTTTGATGGTCTATTTACATACTTCTCTGGCTATGATGTACTATCACCCAAAATGTTAAAGAATTTATGTCTGCTTTAAAAGTATCAAAAGTCCACTTTAAAAGTTTACGTATCAAATAAGTTCACTTCTCTTGTCCCAATGTATCTAATTATACTTCAGCTCCTGTCCTGATGTATCTAATATTACATAGGCTCCTGTCTTGATAGACTTTGAATCTTGTATTATTTTACTTTAGCTCCTATTCCGACGTATCTAAAGGCCCGGTCACACCGCCTAAACATTGCTGGAGCGTTCCTTGAAAAAAATCATCAACGCTCGTAAACATTCACCACCGTTTAACAAAAGTTGGCATCCGTTAAAGCAACGCTGTAAACGCTCGGCCACCAGGATGTTTCTCGAGTGGCCATCCTAACGCTCCAAAAGTTTTGAGCTGCTCAAAATATTGCGAGCGTTGAAAAAGGGACAATTTTACGCCCTGGCAAAGTTTATCACCGCTCCACCAACGCCCAGTCAAAGTTTGGCACCGCTAGACGCAAGTTCGTGGACGCTTGAATCTGCTAGACCAACGCAGAAATCTTAAACGCTGGACCACCGCTGCTTCGCCAGCGTTGCCCGGGCGGCGATTAAACGTTGCACAAACGTCGGTGGAGCGGTTGTTAGCGTTTTATCAGCGTACATGGGGTTGTTGGAACGGTGTCGGACGTTGTCGCAGCGTCCATGGCGGCGATGAACTTTGCTTTGGCGTTGGTATAGAGGTGTCGGAGCGGGACCAGAATTTGGCTATAAATACGTGGAGAAATGCACCACTGTGTAGAACACTGTGGAGACACTTGTGCATTTTACATTTGATATATATTCATGTCTGGCATTTCAATTTTTTGCATTGTAAATTCCTAAATTAAGCGCTCAAAGTTTGTGATTTGGGATTTTAAAAATGTGAATTATGCGATTTTTGTTTTTCATTAAATGTTAATACAAATAGACTTTTACTGAGACCTTTATTCAAATATAGTATATACCTAGTGTTTTCACGTCAAGCAATTCAATAAATTATCTGTGAATTTTCTGCGCAGCTTGTAAAATGTTGCACTCGTCATGGTATTATACAAAAAGTTGATGCGCGCACAGCAATGCAAAAATTTGTCATGCGTCATGATTATTACTTTGCTGTAAATGTTATTTGACATTGTTAAAGCAATTTGAACGTAAATCGGTTCCAAGTAATGGAAATGCAACGATTAAATTGTGATATGTTTGTTTGAAGTGATATGAGAGATTATTAAAGAAAATTGTAATGTTATTCATTCTTAATGTCATATTACATTAATAGAAGCACTTTAGATTTAAATCATTTCTTCTTTAATCCTTGAAGGACTTTTGTTAAAGTTACAAATTCCAATAAAGGTCTTTACTCTTAAACACTTCCCACTTGAAATAATTTCCCAGTAGTCAAACGCGATATGCTGCTAAACCAACGCTGCTGCTATTTATACCCCCGCCGAGGCAACGCTCTCATGCGCAGAACGCCGCTATACCAACGCTCGCATCACCGCTAAACAAACGCTAGCTACCGCTCGTAACCGCTTAACCAACGCTAAAGCAACGCCGGCTTCAGCGGTGCACCGCTAAGCCAACGCCCGTGTTTTTGTTTTTTTCCCCATTTTGTGCGCGTTGACGAGCGATGATGAATTTTTTCAACGTTCAAGGAACGCTCCAGCAACGTCCGGGCGGTGTGACCGGGCCTTAATTATACTTCGGCTGCTGTCCTGATATATCTAATAACACATCAGCTCCTGTCCCGATGTATCTAATTATACTTCGGCTGCTGTCCTGATATATCTAATAACACATCAGCTCCTGTCCCGATGTATCTAATTATACTTCGACTCCTGTCCCGATGTATCTAATTATACTTCGGCTCCTGTCCCGATGTATCTAATTCACTGGGGTTTTACTTTACAGCAGGCAAATCAGCGAGGCACAGCTTGGGGGGAGCAACCTCGGGGAAATAATTTGCTCGGTGCCAATCTTATGTCTGCTGATAGGCACGGGGGCTCTGTACAGGTATATCCTCTCACTAGATGGCACTACTAGTCACCGCAGCTTGCTGGCACCCTCGCCAATCCTTGCAGTCAATTTGGGGGTTGTCTCATTATACTGAAGTGTGTTTTGGGACAATGTGTTTGGTATTTTGAGGTGATCCCCACATTTCATGTCTTTCCTCGCACATTTTCTCATCAACATCATTTTACATAAAATGTCAGCCATGTAGCCATGTTTTTAAGATGTGAAATAAAGTGAAAAGGAGTGGAACAAGCAAGAAATAAACTGAACAGCCATGTCAGTACTCTAAATAATAACAAGATGGACATTTTATTAAATTGATGCATCATGAGAAAATGTTTTGGTATTTCTATGTTGGTTACTGACCATAAATAAAATGTTTTTGATAATTTTAAAATAAATCAATTAAATCTTGATTATCAGATCATTTTATATATGTATCAACCAATTTTTATGGCAAAGGAATATAGTTACAGGGGGTTCCCAAAGTTTTCCTTGTAATGAGGACTCAAGATTTTACCCAAAAATCAGATAGTTCATGAGAGAAAAAAAGGTGATATTAAAATAGCAGACAATATTCTGGTTATTGTTTTCCTAACCTTAAACTTCAATCTTATTTTCCTTTGCCATTAAACTGTATAGCTTAGTTTGCTTAATGTTGCATCCATTCTTTGTAACATAAGTATGCATTTTTGGGGTCAATGATTATTAATACTGTGGCTTTTTGGGCAATTTAACTGAAAAACTTTTTTCTCAAGAATTCATACTTAATTTTACTTCTACATTTGACTTAACGATGATCCCAAAATTGTAGGTTGACCCAGTATTTTAGGTGTTACTCAGCATTTTAGAATTCCACACTACTTTTAGGTGCCCACCCATCATTTTATTTTAGATTTTTACCCCCATTTTAGGTTTTCACCTTGCATTTTAGGGTGTTTATTGAGCATTTTTCTTACAAGATTTTTGCCTATGACCCCCATATATGTTGTGTTTTGATGTGATCCTATACATATTTTGTCATAAGTAAATTGTGTGTTCTATAAAAATGTTACAAAAGCATATACGAGGGGTAACCAAAAAGAGAACTTATGATTAAAAAAATTAAAAAAGGATGTAACGCATAAGTTATTTTTATCAGAACAAATATGACGGGACTGTTGTATGAATCATATTTCATATCATAAAAGTCAATATATTCAGCATAAGTTCTATTCAACACATATATTTAACATCAATATATGGCATCATACACATACATTTACGAAATAGGAATGTAATTAGTATCAGAAGGCTATTATCTCAGAACTGTCCTGGAGTGAAAATAAGAAAATAAGGTGCTTTAATATTTGTATGGTTGAGAAAATTATTCAATCAAAAAATCCATTATGTGTGTTGCTTCATTCCTTGTTTGACCCACATACCCTTGTTGCAGTTGTAGATTAAGCTTTGTGATTTATGGACTTTTGTGAAGCTTTGATTGTCTGCCTTGTTGTTTAGCTATTGTCTCTGTTGTTCTGTGCTTATTAAATAGATGTTGGTTATTAGGTAGTTTGTATGTAGGGGTCTGTTTTTGGTAGGGTGTTATTTGCAAAATGTTTTTGTACAAAATTTGAGACTAATCTGTGCCAACTCCAGTGATGTTGATTTAAAAAATCATATAACAAATATTACTTCGGCTCCTGTCCTGATGTATCAAAACATAATAAATAGTCTGATTATAATTCAGGGTAGGCTATTTTACAATTTTAAATTGTAGGCATGTCGGCTTTTAATTAAGATGTGAATTTTTGAGAAATGTGAGAAATATTTGAAAACATTTTAATTAAGATAAGTGTATGGACAAAATATTTAAATCCATGGCATGCCTTTGTTAATTCGGTTACATGTTTCTCTTTTTGATTGACTAGTGATTGGTAATTGATTAACATTGAACGATTTGAGTTTGATTTTTAGTATTTAAAATTGTAAAAAGTTTATTTAATAAACAAAGCCGTTGCAAGTATTAATGTTATAGTTGTTGTATTTAAATAAATTTATTTATTTACACAAAATAGGAGCCCGATTTGGTTTTGCGGGAATATATTAAATATAATAAAGTTATGTTAATTTATGTTCCATCTGTCTTTTCAGGTGGTTAGCTCAACGAATGGTGAACTTGGGGGAGACGACCCTGGGGGTCACTCTAACACTCCCATAACTCCCCAGGCCGAAGTGGAACATGTCGATGAAACTAAGTATGTTTATTTATTACTAGATGGGAAAAATGTCTTAATACATGCTCATGCTTTGAATCGTGAAATCAAGTGGAATTGGCAAGAAATAAAGTAAACAGAAAATAGAATACTTTATTCAAATTTTAAAGAGAAGTCAGGGGATTCGCTAGAATTTCTCACAACAGGCTAAAAAATGAAAACAACAGGCAAAATTAATGGAAATCATAAATTTAACATGGAAAAGTTGAAAAGTCCCTAAAAACAACAGGCGATTTTGTGAAAACAACCGGTGAAAACCGCCTGTTGCCTGCTGCTAATGAAACCCCTGGAAGTGAACTGAAATGAGCACATGAACAGATTGATATATATTCAAAATGTATACCCATTGTATATCATAATACAATCTATGCTACATTAAGTTTGATTTGAAAATATAGAATAAAATATTTTTACGATCAGAAAAGAACTCAATTTTATAGCTTTGTAAAAAATGTTTTATTATTTAAAATTTATAATATGATATTGTGTTATTTAGTTCGGTGTATTCTTGCTTTTCATTGCACCATTCAAAATGTCTCCGTGGTCATGTTTTGAAATACAAAATAGAGCAGAAAAGAGTGGAATTGGCAAGGAATAAAGTAAACAGACATGTAGTTAACACTCTAAATTGTATAGAAATGCAAAAAATCAGACATTTTTGTCAAATTTTAGAGAGAAATAGGACGAAGTAGATATGAGCAGACGGATGTTTTGATCAAGGTTGACTGTCCATTTTTGATAGGTTTTCAAGGAATGCATCTCATACAATCCTATAGTTGCTTTGCCATACTGGATATTGTGCTCTTAATATTGTATTTTATTTCTCGTGATCAAAATTTTTCGTCAATGTACATAATTGAATGAATACAATGTTGGGAAGTAGAAAAATGGCGGTATTTGGTTCATTTTACACCTGTTTCACTAGTAGCATCAAAAGATTTTAAACGTGTTTTAGACGATTACACATGTTGTAGCATGGGGCATTAATTGTATTAGGCTCTTATGCAATCCAGAAAAAACTTGATTATTTCAAGTTTGTATCTGGGCTACATTATAATTAAGCTCTCATGGAAACGTTCTTCCTAAAGTGTATGAAGCACCTTTACTTGATTATGCCATAATGTGACGTCTAGTTTGAACTTTTTCGACCCATTTTTAGAAAGGTGTAAAGTAACCAAATATACTGGCATTACTGGGGCCTTTTCGACATACATTTAGGCAAAATGGAAAAAGTAATTATCCCATAAGTGGCGCTAACTTTGACGCAAAATGCAAAGTAGAAAATATATCCCGAAATGGCCCAATTTGCAGACAGGAAAAACGTCTTCTGGAGTTTCATGATTAGTACCAGAAATTGGTACTAAATCAGTCTTTTTTCTCATGTAGAAAAAAGAAATTGGAAACAGCGACATTTTTAAGCGTCAGTGCGTCACTAAATTCATGCTTTTCTCTTTTACAGATGCTGCTTTTTCCGCAGACGCAAGAAAAAGAAATCACGCCAAACTTAAGACATTTTATATGGACTGCAATTACAGATAGATGGCGTGTTGATTTTATAGGATTGTACTCCAGCACAGCCCTATAGAGTACACAGTGCTAATGTGTGCATAGTGCTAATGTGTGCATAGTGCTAATGTGTACATAGTGCTTATGTGTACATAGTGCTGATTTGTACATATCGCTGCCAAGTGCATTGTGCTAAAATGTATTAAGTGCTATATTCAGTGCTAAAACTAAAGTGATGTGTACATAGTGCTATACTGTACATAGTGCTAAAATGTACATAGTGCTATCCATGAGATGTACATAGTGGAATACGGGCTATTGTATATATTAGTCCTAATCTCAGAGCTATGTACACACAACATTGATGCCCACTGCGAAAATGGACAATGTAGTAGGCGAAACTGCTCGGGCTGGGCTGGTAGTGCAGTGCATGATGGGATGCCGAGAGGATCATGGGGCAGACCTACCTGCTTCCTTTTTTGCATGCCTCCTGCTTAAAATATACTGTTCCTCTGCATGGCTTTTCTGCCTGATTACACTGTATAATCAAATCTGATTGGTCATCCCTATTTGTCTGTGCGTAGCCCTGCCAGGTTACATAACATGATCAAATCTGATTGGTTGGTCGTCCTGATTTAGGTGTTGCTGTTTTTACCGCACACGGTCAAGAAAGAAGAAAAAAGGCGTTCGAATGGAACTTAAATGACGGGTGCACTATGACCAAGCTCAAGATATGCTTCCGCTAAGATGGCGCTCTGAATCGAAACGAACTTTGACATATGGCGAAAGTGAGGAAAGTGAATAAAGACGTATAACAAGAGATTACTTTTGGTACGCTAAATTAACACATTACTTTGGCTCCTGTCCTGATGTATCAAATCCAACTTCGGCTCCTGCCCTGATGTATCAAATATACTGCCCTGTCATGTATCTAATATATCAGTTAACTTATTTTAGGTATATCTATATTTAATAAGTTGGGGTATTTTATGAAAAGAATTTGACACAATTTTATGATCTCATTTAGGAGACCGATATAATATTTTAATTATGTAGATAAAAATGTGAGTTTGAACTACATTCCTTTGATATACATGAATAAAAATCATTGTATTGAATATGAAATGGAGAGAAGGGGTGGAATTAGCAAGGAATAAAGAAATAGACTTGATATTATCATCAATTTAACAAAAATGTGAGAAATACTGTCACTATTGAGATTACAAAATTACATTTTAACCATCAGTATTTTTGTAATTGGGTCCTACATCCAGATCTGCATATTTAAGAAGTTATGTTTGCTGAAATGGAATTTATTATTAATACGTAAGATATTTAGAGAAAAATGAAATTATCCGATATACATGTATGGTCTTTTGATCTCAAATTGTACCAAATGAAATATTTTTCAATGTTATTGAATTTTCAGTTATAAGATTATGTATTTGTGCAATATACTTGAATATTGAGTTTTGACTTGGAAATGATTTGATTCATTTCTGTCCTGAAGTGGCAAATGTAATTTCAGCTCCTGCCCTGATGTATCAGTTATTACTTCAGCTCCTACCCTGATGTATCAAATGTTACTTCAGCTCCTGCCCTGATGTATCAAATGTGTATGTTGAGTGCATGACAAGAATGTAAACACCATACAGATTTGAATACAAGTGATCACATTTTAGTTTACTTAAAGGGGCAGAAAATTATATTCAGTTCAGAAAGCAATCACCAGGTGGAAAACATGAAAACAAGCATATTGTGAAGTTGAAAACAAGCATATCGAAAAGTTGAAAACATGAAAACAAGCATATTGTGAAGTTGAAAACATGAAAACAGCATATGGTGAAGTTGAAAACATGAAAACAAGCATATTGTGAAGTTGAAAACATGAAAACAAGCATATGGTGAAGTTGAAAACATGAAAACAAGCATATTGTGAAGCTGAAAACAAGCATATTCAGCTAAAAACATAAAAAGTGAATTAGAATGTATCTTGAGCTTTGTCATAGAAAACAGTCAAACAGTCTATAAATAAGTCATATTGTACTATTTTTACCTGTACATTGTGAATAAACATGCAATGTGTGTATAAATGCTAAGATGTATACAATAAAAATGCAGGTGGCTTCTTATTAGTAAGATAAGCTTTTCATTGGGACTCGGAATCTGGGTGGGATTTAATCTCGAAGTAAAATCATTTTTGGCAAAGCTAAAAATGGTTTTGGTTTGAGAGTAGGGTCTCAGACAGATTTTATCATGATACTCGATGTGTGTGATAAGGAAATTTCTGGTAAATTTGTAAAATTGATTGTCTATTACTCATCATTGAACTTTTGTAAATAGCGTATCATGTCAGTCGGGTTTGTGGGGAAAAGAGGATAAAGCAAGGAATACATTGAAAGAAACATGAAATCCAGATTTTAAAGGAATGAAACACTGTCTTTATGTAAGATATCATCGGAAATCTATGAAGATCATGCATATACATGTTATCGAAACCGCAAGATTTGTATTGTATATTTTCCATAGTATTATTTTTTGGGTATAAAATTTCTGTTAGAGATTCTCAAATAGAGGCAGTGTTTCATAAATTGTAAAAACGATCAGTTATCTGGTTTTTCGTAATAAATTAATTCAAATATTAATGTACCTTCTTTCACTTTATCCACTTCTTTCCACTTTATTTTAAGTTTTTTAGGAAGCATCAACAGGTATTTATTGTAAAACCTAAAACAGGCATGGTCGCTCAAACTCAGCTTCCATCACAAAGTATTTCGGCTCCTGGCCTGATGTATCAATATTGTTACTTCGGCTCCTGCACTGATGTATCAAATGTTACTTCGGCTCCTGGCCTGATGTATCAATTGTTACTTCAGCTCCTGCCCTTATGTATCAATTGTTACTTCGGCTCCTGACCTGATGTATCAATTGTTACTTCGGCTCCTGCCCTGATGTATCAATTGTTACTTCAGCTCCTGCCCTGATGTATCAATTGTTACTTTGGCTCCTGCCCTGATGTATCAATTGTTACTTCGGCTCCTGGCCTGATGTATCAATTGTTACTTCGGCTCCTGCCCTGATGTATCAATTGTTACTTCAGCTCCTGTCCTGATGTATCAATTTTTATGAATTATGCTCCAGTTCAAAACATTTCAGGGTTATTATTTTATTTGTATTTGAAGGTGTTATTCCCAGTAATACAAGTATATAGAAGAGGTACTAACTCTATCCCATAGTTCATCTGTCATGTATGTATCAGACTAAGTATTGATGTACTGGATTGTGGGAACTCTATTCTTACATTGCATGAACAACTGTTAAATAAGTACCACAAATATAATATTTTCTTGTAATTATAATACAAACATTTTTTGACCTGAGTACAAGAAGTAGTTTTCTTGTCATGGAACAGAAGATTTGAGCTCAAAGAAATGCTAACATCATTAGCGCTGTTTCAGCATCAATTTCCTAAAGTTCGAAGATGCCATCAGAGTTTCAAATGTCCATGGGTCACGGGGAAAAACTGTTCCACTTGGGAGGTGTTTTACTTATTGGGGGGCTCCACTAACATAGATGTTCCACTTGCACGGGTATTACATTTGACAATTTTTCCCCTTGTACTAGAATTACAAGATAACAACAATAGAAAAAATATGATTTTAAATTTAAACTTATGACAAAATGTTTTAAAGCTGCTCAGGACAGCAATATATTGAAGTACAATGGTCTTCAATTTTGAATTCAATTTATTGAATTTCATGTCGACATGTATTCAATTGTCCATGTTCTATTGCATTGACTTGCATAGTTTTCCTGGAATTTTTATAAAATGTGAAAATTGCATGTCTCACAAAAATTGTGAATTTTAATGTACTGTAGTCATATTACTAAAAATGTGAATTTCAATTAAAAATGTGAATGGTTCAATCACATATCAACAATGAAAAATGTGAATATTTAATATGTGAATGAATGTATGTTTCACATTTCAGTGCAGATATGTTTGATTGAGTCAAATTTAAAATGCTATATTTCTGGAGATAAACTGTATGATATCAATACTGTATGATTTTAAGTTAATTTTGCTGATGGTGTAAATATAGACTATGATAGATATGATAAGAATGTGGAATTAGGCCAAATATTTATCTTAAAGAAGGTGTTTGTCTCCATGTCTCATTTGTCAAGCGGGGCCAACTACAGCGAGTATAATTGCAACAACCAGATGGAAATAAAAAATTGCTATTCTCATACCATACCATTTTTCTTCAAAAATGAACTCGTTTTGTTTGAAATGAAAGAAACGATCTTTTTACCAGTGCATTGTTTTGAGGCTAAGCACGGAGTACTTTGTTTCAATCATGTTGATGTGACCAACGAATGGAAAATAACAATGTTCTAAAAATTTAACTTTGAGCATCTTCTTCAAGCGGGCTAAACCAATATCCTCTTATTAAAGTACTTATGGGATGAGACTTACTATTCTTGATTTTAAAACATCCAGTGGAAAATAACAAGTTGAATACTTTCTGTAGCTGACCATGCATGCTTCGTTACCTCATTTAGTTTTATTTTAAAGTAGAAAATTTTTCGAAAGGAAAACAATGGAAAATCTTTTATGAAAAATAACATTACTGGCATTTATTTCAAGCAAATCTGTTATTAAATATTGTGAGAGATAAAGCCAACAGGAAGGACCATTTGGGAAATGCCAAAATTAAAAAAAAAAAATCGATAAATCTCAATATCATTTTGCTAGAATTAAAACTGATATTTTTGCTTATAACCCCCAAAATAAACATATGCACTTTGGTGTTCAATATATTGATGGGCATCTTGTGTATATTATGTTTTTAACTTATGTGTTTATTTTGGAGGTAAAGATCATATGAGCTTAATAAATTTGAGATTGATTACTTCGGCTCCTGTCCCGATGTATCACTTGTTACTTTGGCTCCTGTCCTGTATATGTGTATTGAGACTATGGAGATCCAGCATGGTCTTTATAATAAAATACTATGTAAGATAAATTATTTTATGTTATAGTTTATTAATTTTGGGAATATTGGGTCATCCCCAATTCATGCCATATCATACCCCAGTTTAGAATCTTTGCCATATTCACACCAAAGTTTGAAATCTTTGCCATACATATTCACACCAAGGTTTGGAATCTCTGCCATATTCACACCAAAGTTTAGAATCTTTGCCATATTCACACCAAAGTTTAGAATCTTTGCCATACATATTCACACCAAGGTTTGGAATCGGTGCCTTATTAATACCCCAGTTTAGAATCTTTGCCATATTCACACCAAAGTTTAGAATCTTTGCCATACATATTCACACCAAGGTTTGGAATCTCTGCCATATTCACACCAAAGTTTAGAATCTTTGCCATATTCACACCAAAGTTTAGAATCTTTGACATACATATTCACACCAAGGTTTGGAATTGGTGCCTTATTCATAGCCCAGTTTAGAATCTTTGCCATATTCTCACCAAATTTGAAATCTTTGCCATATTCACATCCCAGTTTTGGATCTTTGCCATATTCACACCCCAGTTTGGAATCTGCCATAATCACACCCCAGTTTGGAATCCCTGCCATATCCACACCAAAGTTTGGAATCTATGCCATATTCAAACCCCAGTTTGGGATCTTTGCCATATTCACACCAAAGTTTAGAATATTTGCCACATTGAAACTAAAATTTGGAATCTTTGCCATATTCACACCCCAGTTTGGAATCTGCCATATTCACACCCCAGTTTGGAATCTCTGCCATATTCACACCAAAGTTTGGAATCTATGCCATATTCACACCCCAGTTTGGGATCTTTGCCATAATCACTCAAATTTGGAATCTTTGCCATATTCCCACCAGTTTGAAATCTTTGCCATATTCACACCCTAGTTTGGAATTTATACTATATTCACACCAAAGTTTGAAATCTATGCCATAATAAGTCCCCAGTTTGGAATCTTTGCCATAATCACTCAAATTTGGAATCTTTGCCATATTCCCACCAGTTTAAAATCTTTGCCATATTCACACCCTGGTTTGGATTTATACTATATTCACACCAAAGTTTGAAATCTATGCCATATTAACTCCCCAGTTTGGAATCTTTGTCATAATCACACTCAAGTTTGGAATCTTTGCCATTTCCCACCAAAGTTTGGAATCTATGCCATATTCACACCAAAGTTTGGAATCTGTGCCATATTCACACCAACGTTTGGAATCTGTGCCATACTCACACTCAAGTTTGGAATCTTTGCCATATTAACTCCCCAGTTTGGAATCTTTGTCATAATCACACTCAAGTTTGGAATCTTTGCCATTTTCCCACCAAAGTTTGGAATCTTCGCCATATTCACAACAAAGCTTGGGATCTGTGCCATATTAACACCTGCTTGGACTCTGCTTTATTCACACTCAGATTGGTATCTGCCATATTTATACCCTTAACTGAGTTAAGTTCAAATATGTATAAAAATGGTATTTATGTAATATGGAGAAATATCCCATTGTTGAGGTCAAATCTGTAGGATAACATGTAAATATATTTATGATATTTACAAATGCGTTGAAAAAGCGATATCTGTGGAATGCAGAGAATATTCTACAGATATCACACTTTTCCACAGATTTGAAAACTCCCGCAAATATGACGTGTATTGTTACGCGAAGATCTCAAAACTACACGTGATGAATAACTGTTGTTTTGAAATGTTTGGTTTAGTTTTAAAAGGGAACTATGGGATAAATAGAATATCCTATGAATTTTTGTGATATCATTTTAATCCACTCGTTAATATCAATATCTGCACTCATTCGCTACGCTCACTCATCCAGAAATTGATATCAACTTAGGGATAAAAATGATATCACTCAAAATCATAGGGTATCCTATTACTATCACTTTTCCACAGATTTGAAAACACCCTCAATCTTGTTACTGTTATAATCTTATACTGTTACATTGCGATTATATTAAATGAAACTAGATGTTATAATGCATTGTTAAGACTTGGTTGTACTATGGCATAAATAGGATATCCTATGATATCACTCAAAAATCATAGGATATCATTTTCATATTCACCCAGTTTGAGATAAACATCAAACACAAAAACAACTTATTAAGTCTTCATATCATTTATTGATAAAAACTTTGTCAAAAGTACTGTTCATAAGTATAAAATCTATTAATAACAACCTAATGGTGGAAAATGCACTACAGCCTGGACCAGTGCCTTAATTTTAATTCAAGATATCATTTAAGAATATTTGAATGTCTTTAAATATATTTTTTCAAAAATTTTGAGCAATCTGGGAAATGAAAAAAAATTGAACAAAAACTTTAATAGAAAGTTGGAAATACACTGTATGTATTTTGATCATTTAAAAGAAAGAAATATTAATAAAATAACACTTTAAAGCTTTTCATAATTAGAAAAATTGGTACCTGCCCCGCCCACCCCTATCCCCGTGTTGCTATAGCAACCATTTTAAGACTTAATATTAATGTATCATGCTGAAACTTCAGGATATAACAGATAAAACTTCAATTGTTATATACACCCAATTTCAACTGAATTGAAGAATATTGAAGAAAGTTAGAGCATATAGTGCATTACTTCTGGGACAACCCTCGTATAGTTTTATATATCTAAATTAAAGATGCTCATGTAAGGGTTGGAGCAAGCCACGATGGTTCAAGTTACTGGTCTGGTTAGGTTGAGTAATGGCCTATCTCCCTATAGTTATGGATGGTATCAAATTATAAACAGTCGGGGAAAACGAGGTTTAATTTCATATTTGTTTGACCCCCTCCCCTCATCTAACAAAATTTTGATTTAAAATTAAAATGTTGATTTGTCTTTCACTTCAATTTTACTCTAAAAGAACAAAAATATGTAAAAATCACTGAAATCCCAAAAGACAGGAAAATGGTTCAAGAAGAGAGGTTTTGAGATAACAAGTAGTCTGTGCTTAACAGACAGTAAGGGCCTAATGAAAGGTATCTAATTGGGCCAAAAAGGTATTTAAGGTCACATTTACATGAGGAGGTCATAACCAATATCACCTAGCAACAGCTAGCCTAACCAGACACGTCTTTAACCTGTACACATACGGTATCTTCAAATATACAGTATAAGCTAGTGCTATACATATTTCTACTGCAAATTTTGCTAAATATTAAGACTAGATATGCAGCTATATAATGAGATGTTTAAAATATATAATGTATTTAAAAAATTATGAGTCATTTCAAATACATATGTATAAACAAGCCTATCCCTAATATATCTGTTTTAATGATAACACTAATCTCGCCCTTGTGGATTGGCAGTGTAATTTGTGAAACTGTTACATTATGTGCGATATATATGACATAGGCCTATTTCAAATATATGACATAGGCCTATTTCAAATATATGACATAGGCCTTTTCAAATATATGACATAGGCCTATTTCAAATATATGACATAGGCTTTTCAAATATATGACATAGGCCTTTTCAAATATATGACATAGGCCTATTTCAAATATATGACATAGGCTTTTCAAATATATGACATAGGCCTTTTCAAATATATGACATAGACCTATTTCAAATATATGACATAGGCCTTTTCAAATATATGACATAGGCCTTTTCAAATATATGACATAGGCCTTTTAAAATAAATGACAAATATATCACACATCTCAAACTATATGATGCATATAAATGAGCCATGTTTATAATATAAGACATATTTCACGTATTTAAATAATTTTGATACGATGTACACTGTTCCAAATTTTTCATAATTTGACTCACTAAAATTACATAAAGTAACATTCATCTGGTCTTCCTAAAATGTTCAACTTTGTGGGGTCACATTGTGACATCAATTTGACATGCACACAATGACATCAAAATGTATGTCACTCACACAATAACATCAGAGTGTATGTCAATCGCACAATGACATCAATCAAAATGACATCAAAACAGTGTTACATAACTCAAAGGAAATAAGTAGAGTTCAACTTATTTATTAAGTTTGATTGTCAGCTTTTTCATATTGCCATATGATATGATACCATCTTCTGTTTGGCAAGACATCGGATAATCATTATGACATCAAACTATCATCTTGACATCCCTGCATGTTTATTTTGACTCTTTTTGTTTATTTGTGACCCAACACAATGAAATCACCGGATTTGAAATAATTTCTGCAGAACGATGATATTTGTTTCCTGTCACATCATTTGTGTCAGAAAGATGACATTGTACATGTCTAAAATGTGACATCACTTGTGTCAGAAAGATGACATCATACATGTCTAAAATGTGACATCACTCCACTCTATTTCTACGTTTGAAGAATTTCTTCATGTTCCAGTCTTTGTGATGCAGCATGGATGGCCCATTAAAGACACAGAGTACTGTCATATTGTCGGAAAAAGAAAGGTTCGATAACAACTGGAAAAAACAAAGTACTACTATTCATCATTGAAATTCAAAATCACTTATTTTGGAAAATTTACGACTTGGCGTGTTTAGAATATCTTTTTGAAGCAAACTAAAGATCATGTATAGAATGATCAGATACGAAAATTGCTTCAATTTAGTGATGAAGAAAGTTTCTAAGATACTCTTCATCTTCTTACGTAAGTGATGAACTCCTGACAAGATGACAATATAATTGATAAATTATTGGAACGATGCTGAAAAAATATCGTCACCTTGGGAGTGAGCAAGAAATATTGCGATGTGTCCTTCTTGCACGCTGTCTGGACAACCAAATCAAACACTCTCCTCTCATTGGCTGGATCCATTCCCTACAACCAATCAGATACAATTCGAAGTCTACAATGAGTTCACTTTATGTAAGCTATACTAAATAACACGAGAATATGAGATACTATTGGGCACTTAATAAAAAGTGTTAGCTGACAATGAGTATTCACAATGATGTTCATATATTTATATTTTTTGAGGGGAATTTAAATATTTCATCTCATTCAAAGCTTAAATTCTGAAATACATGAAATATACAGTAGTCAAAACAAGAATGGATTGACAATCTGTGATGAAGCAAAAGTTAACAAGCTGGAAATCACCACTAGAAATTCTGTAGAAATGAGCAGAGGTCCTACACCCATAATACATAAGCCTATAAAATTTGAACCAAATCTGTCAACCGGTATTTGAGTCATGGGTCAGACACACAAACGAATGAATGGACAGACAGATGAACAAACAGACAGCCTCTCAATATCCCTACAAATGTTGTTCGGTGGGATAATGAAAGAGAAATTATCTCAAACCAGTAATTTTAGGAAATACAAAATAGAATAGAGCAAAGTAGAATGTAAGCACTCTAATTTGTATTGAATTGCAAAACATTTGGACACTCCTTTTGAGAGAAATTAGAGGAATCAGCGGACGGATATATTGATGTGAATAACAAACCTGGTTTATCTCATCCACACATCTGAATGGGCATTTTGTTATCTCCTGTAGCGCCATCATGTATAATATAGTGGCAACACTTCGTTCCCCACCACTTTGGTAATGACCCGTCAGTTCTCGTAAACTTTCCGAAGCTCTGTATTTCACCTTTATTCTGACTCCATAGTTATGATACTCTTCCTAAAAGTAAAAGATTTATGTTACTTTGGCTCCTATCCTGATGTACAAGTTGTTACTTCGGCTCCTGCCCTGATGTATCAAATGTTACTTTGGCTCCTGCCCTAATGTATCAAATGTTACTTCGGCTCCTGCCCTGATGTATCAATTGATACTTCAGCTCCTGCCCTGATCTATCAATTGTTACTTTCGTCTTGCCTTGATGTATAACTTATCAATTCTGCTCCTAGTGATTCATTTTGCACTGACTTTATTTAAACAGATATTACTAAATGAACTCAATTAGAGATATTCTTTTTTAAATTCACTTGTTATCAAAACCACATACATTACAATACACATACTCTCTAATCAGCCATTGTTGCACAAATGTAATGTAACTAAATATTTTAATGATTGTTATTACATTTCAATGTGACTCCTCCCATAAACATAACAACATTATTTCTCAAATTTCAGCCACCCCTAATGTGTACCAATGCAGCAAAATGGTATTTTAAACAAACCTTATTTTCTGGTTCATATAGATCTACTTCACCAGCACAGTTCATCGTTTTGAAGAAATATGAAAAACTCTTGTTGATTTGCTCCAGTAGCTCATTCAGAGGAGTCAGCCATTCTTCACGAACCTAGAAAAATAGAAAAAACATTATATCAATTTAAGCTCGGTTAATAAACAAAAACAACTGTAATATAAAAAAGTTGTTAACACTTGTTGATTTGCTCTAGTAGCTCATTCAGCCATTCTTCACGAACCTAGAAAAATAGGTACTAAAACAATTTAAGCTTTATAAATAAAACAAAAACAAATACAGGGAAATAAGGCATTAACATGTAAAATGGCACCACCTGCCATTTTTTACAGACTACCGAACATCATCCATGTCTCCACTTTTGGTAGTGATATAACAAGGCATTTATGTGACAACATGCCACCACCTTGTAATTTATTACACTTAGTTGCAAAAGTGTAACAATTTTACAAAAGTGTAACAATTTTACAAAAGTGTAACAATTTCACAAAAGTGTAACAATTTTACAAAAGTGTAACAATTTTACAAAAGTGTAACAATTTTACAAAAGTGGAACAATTTTACAAAAGTGTAACAATTTCACAAAAGTGTAACAATTTTACAAAAGTGTAACAATTTTCGAAAAGTGTAACAATTTCACAAAAGTGTAACAATTTTACAAAAGTGTAACAATTTTACAAAAGTGTAACAATTTCACAAAAGTGTAACAATTTTACAAAAGTGTAACAATTTTTCACAAAAGTGTAACAATTTTACAAAAGTGTAACAATTTTACAAAAGTGTAACAATTTTACAAAACTGTAACAATTTTACAAAAGTGTAACAATTTCACAAAAGTGTAACAATTTCACAAAAGTGTAACAATTGTTACAGATGCCAAATGCTGAACATTGCTGAATAAAAATAGCTGTAACAATATGTCACCAACTGTTAGTGGTGACATAAGAAGAGACTTATAAAGTGCTAAATGACATTACTAAAAAGAATCAAAATACTTATATTTAGCTGCACCTTATAAGCCATCTGATTATATGGGGAGGATAAATTATGATTTATGAGATATGAGAGATGATGCAGATATCAATCTCCATGAGTCGACATATGACATTCCACGAGCCAGAACTGCAACTTTGCACATGGTTAAGAATATGAAAAATTATGAAAAACAGAGGCCCTTTGGTCCTTTGAACCATTTTGAACAGTAAGTCAAAGTAGGTAAAAAAAATGTTTCACCCATTGAAGAAAGTGGGCGAGGGAAAACATATTTAATAAAATATTATACCTTTTCGATATCTTCCTGCATATCATCCAGCCTGGCTTTCAATTCCTTGCATTCTTTCTCTGTTTTGGCAATATATTTCTTCCCTTTCTCATACTCATGGACAACCTGTGGAGAATTAAATATAAAAAACATTACTTTTTTCTATGTTAAAGAATACAGACATCAAAATGTTACATTAAGAATACAGGACATCAAAATGTTAGATTAAGAATTTCTACATTAAGAATACAGACATCAAAATGTTAGAATAAGAATTTCTATGTTAAAGAATACAGACATCAAAATGTTAGATTAAGAATTTCTATGTTAAAGAATACAGACATCAAATGTTAGATTAAGAATTTCTATGTTAAAGAATACAGACATCAAAATGTTACATTAAGAATACAGACATCAAAATGTTAGAATAAGAATTTCTATGTTAAAGAATACAGACATCAAAATGTTAGATTAAGAATTTCTATGTTAAAGAATACAGACATCAAATGTTAGATTAAGAATTTCTATGTTAAAGAATACAGACATCAAAATGTTACATTAAGAATACAGACATCAAAATGTTAGAATAAGAATTTTATTTGTATGCTATCAATACCTACCTTAAGGTGAAAAAATTGGAATGGCATTTGGAGCATATCTAATTCATTGCCCTTTGCCCACCTTAATATCATACCATTTTTAATTTAATCAGTCTCACCTTGACTAAAATTGTAAAACTTGCACCAGCCAACATTTATGCATTTGTCAAAAAAAAGGTTTTGAAAAACATCAAACAGGTTCAAAGCCAGTGAAATAAATCAGAGTGTTAATTCAATGTCTCCCTGAATCTCTTACTGTATTTCAATATTTTCTTTTTACCTGCCTGTCATCAAGTACCACATATTCCCATAAAACTGGCATTGTCCAGGTGTCTGCAGATTGGAATACTCATTCAAAAGCACATGTTATTGACAAATATCAGACTACAGGTGCAGATACAGGTAAAAAAGGCATTACCATGCAAACTGCCACCACCTGCCATTTGTAACATATCCTGAACTCTGAACACCAACTGCCATCACAAAAAAGTTGGATGCCTAATAATAATATGTCACTACTTGTGGTGGTGACATCTGTCACCACTTGTGGTAGTGACATAATGAGCCATAATTTTAGGAGTTAATTCACTGCACTTCGTCTGACTTAATATCTTACCTCTTCACTGGTGGAGAAAATACAATCAGCTCTGGCTTAATATCTTACCTCTTCACTGGTGGAGAAAATACAATCAGCTCTGGCTTAATATCTTACCTCTTCACTGGTGGAGAAAATACAATCAGCTCTGGCTTAATATCTTACCTCTTCACTGGTGGAGAAAATACAATCAGCTCTGACTTAATATCTTACCTCTTCACTGGTGGAGAAAATACAATCAGCTCTGGTTTAATATCTTACCTCTTCACTGGTGGAGAAAATACAATCAGCTCTGGTTTAATATCTTACCTCTTCACTGGTGGAGAAAATACAATCAGCTCTGGCTTAATATCTTACCTCTTCACTGGTGGAGAAAATACAATTAGCTCTGGCTTAATATCTTACCTCTTCACTGATGGAGAAGATACAATTAGCTCTGGCTTAATATCTTACCTCTTCACTGGTGGAGAAAATACAATCAGCTCTGGCTTAATATCTTACCTCTTCACTGGTGGAGAAAATACAATCAGCTCTAGCTTAATATCTTACCTCTTCACTGGTGGACAAAATACAATCAGCTCTGGCTTAATATCTTACCTCTTCACTGGTGGAGAAAATACAATCAGCTCTGGCTTAATATCTTACCTCTTCACTGGTGGAGAAAATACAATCAGCTCTGGCTTAATATCTTACCTCTTCACTGGTGGAGAAAATACAATCAGCTCTGGCTTAATATCTTACCTCTTCACTGGTGGAGAAAATACAATCAGCTCTGACTTAATATCTTACCTCTTCACTGGTGGAGAAAATACAATCAGCTCTGGCTTAATATCTTACCTCTTCACTGGTGGGGAAAATACAATCAGCTCTGACTTAATATCTTACCTCTTCACTGGTGGAGAAAATACAATCAGCTCTGGCTTAATATCTTACCTCTTCACTGGTGGAGAAAATACAATCAGCTCTGGCTTAATATCTTACCTCTTCACTGGTGGAGAAAATACAATCAGCTCTGGCTTAATATCTTACCTCTTCACTGGTGGAGAAAATACAATCAGCTCTGACTTAATATCTTACCTCTTCACTGGTGGAGAAAATGCAATTAGCTCTGGCTTAATATCTTACCTCTTCACTGGTGGAGAAAATACAATCAGCTCTGCCTTAATATCTTACCTCTTCACTGGTGGAGAAAATACAATCAGCTCTGACTTAATATCTTACCTCTTCACTGGTGGAGAAAATGCAATTAGCTCTGGCTTAATATCTTACCTCTTTACTTGTGGAGAAAATACAATCAGCTCTGACTTAATATCTTACCTCTTCACTGGTGGAGAAAATGCAATTAGCTCTGGCTTAATATCTTACCTCTTCACTGGTGGAGAAAATACAATCAGCTCTGGCTTAATATCTTACCTCTTCACTGGTGGAGAAAATACAATCAGCTCTGGCTTAATATCTTACCTCTTCACTGGTGGAGAAAATACAATCAGCTCTGGCTTAATATCTTACCTCTTCACTGATGGAGAAAATACAATCAGCTCTAGCTTAATATCTTACCTCTTCACTGGTGGAGAAAATACAATCAGCTCTGACTTAATATCTTACCTCTTCACTGGTGGAGAAAATACAATCAGCTCTGGCTTAATATCTTACCTCTTCACTGGTGGAGAAAATACAATCAGCTCTGGCTTAATATCTTACCTCTTCACTGGTGGAGAAAATACAATCAGCTCTAGCTTAATATCTTACCTCTTCACTGGTGGAGAAAATACAATCAGCTCTGGCTTAATATCTTACCTCTTCACTGGTGGGGAAAATACAATCAGCTCTGGCTTAATATCTTACCTCTTCACTGGTGGAGAAAATACAATCAGCTCTGACTTAATATCTTACCTCTTCACTGGTGGAGAAAATACAATCAGCTCTGGCTTAATATCTTACCTATTCACTGGTGGAGAAAATACAATCAGCTCTGACTTAATATCTTACCTCTTCACTGGTGGAGAAAATACAATCAGCTCTGACTTAATATCTTACCTCTTCACTGGTGGAGAAAATACAATCAGCTCTGACTTAATATCTTACCTCTTCACTGGTGGAGAAAATACAATCAGCTCTGGCTTAATATCTTACCTCTTCACTGGTGGAGAAAATACAATCAGCTCTGACTTAATATCTTACCTCTTCACTGGTGGAGAAAATACAATCAGCTCTGGCTTAATATCTTACCTATTCACTGGTGGAGAAAATACAATCAGCTCTGGCTTAATATCTTACCTCTTCACTGATGGAGAAGATACAATTAGCTCTGACTTAATATCTTACCTCTTCACTGGTGGAGAAAATACAATCAGCTCTGGCTTAATATCTTACCTCTTCACTGGTGGAGAAAATACAATCAGCTCTGGCTTAATATCTTACCTCTTCACTGGTGGAGAAAATACAATCAGCTCTGACTTAATATCTTACCTCTTCACTGGTGGGGAAAATACAATCAGCTCTGACTTAATATCTTACCTCTTCACTGGTGGAGAAAATACAATCAGCTCTGGCTTAATATCTTACCTCTTCACTGGTGGAGAAAATACAATCAGCTCTGGCTTAATATCTTACCTCTTCACTGGTGGAGAAAATACAATCAGCTCTGACTTAATATCTTACCTCTTCACTGGTGGGGAAAATACAATCAGCTCTGACTTAATATCTTACCTCTTCACTGGTGGAGAAAATACAATCAGCTCTGGCTTAATATCTTACCTCTTCACTGATGGAGAAAATACAATCAGCTCTGACTTAATATCTTACCTCTTCACTGGTGGAGAAAATACAATCAGCTCTGGCTTAATATCTTACCTCTTCACTGGTGGGGAAAATACAATCAGCTCTGACTTAATATCTTACCTCTTCATTGGTGGAGAAAATACAATCAGCTCTGGCTTAATATCTTACCTCTTCACTGGTGGAGAAAATACAATCAGCTCTGACTTAATATCTTACCTCTTCACTGGTGGGGAAAATACAATCAGCTCTGACTTAATATCTTACCTCTTCACTGGTGGAGAAAATACAATCAGCTCTGGCTTAATATCTTACCTCTTCACTGGTGGAGAAAATACAATCAGCTCTGGCTTAATATCTTACCTCTTCACTGGTGGAGAAAATACAATCAGCTCTGGCTTAATATCTTACCTCTTCACTGGTGGAGAAAATGCAATTAGCTCTGGCTTAATATCTTACCTCTTCACTGGTGGAGAAAATACAATCAGCTCTGGCTTAATATCTTACCTCTTCACTGGTGGAGAAAATACAATCAGCTCTGGCTTAATATCTTACCTCTTCACTGGTGGAGAAAATACAATCAGCTCTGGCTTAATATCTTACCTCTTCACTGGTGGAGAAAATACAATCAGCTCTGGCTTAATATCTTACCTCTTCACTGGTGGAGAAAATACAATCAGCTCTGACTTAATATCTTACCTCTTCACTGGTGGAGAAAATACAATCAGCTCTGGCTTAATATCTTACCTCTTCACTGGTGGAGAAAATACAATTAGCTCTGACTTAATATCTTACCTCTTCACTGGTGGAGAAAATACAATTAGCTCTGGCTTAATATCTTACCTCTTCACTGGTGGAGAAAATACAATCAGCTCTGGCTTAATATCTTACCTCTTCACTGGTGGAGAAAATACAATCAGCTCTGACTTAATATCTTACCTCTTCACTGGTGGAGAAAATACAATCAGCTCTGGCTTAATATCTTACCTCTTCACTGGTGGAGAAAATACAATCAGCTCTGGCTTTAGCTTCATGGATGGCTGCATCAATCTCTTCCATATTGTCTGGGCATCGCTCAAATGCCTACAATAAAATCAAGATGATGTATATTCCCATTTTCTGTACCTTCTCCCCTATTCTTCCATATCAGGGAAAGGATAAGGGTTTGGAGATAGGGGATAACAGAGTCTTGATTTAAGATAAAAATGTGTTCAATAAGATTAAGATCCCAGATTTAAGTCATAAATTACATCAAAATAGCGTGCAAACTTTGGGCAGACATTGTCATTCCGTTATGCCCAAACATCTCAGGAACACATAGGTACTCGAATGATCTTGATTGGACTTCATGGTGCAGAGAAATCTGACTTTACACAATGGGTCCATGAAAAAATAAACAATGTCATGAGTCCCCTTCATGACCATGACAAGTACATTTGGGACCATTAAGATCTGCGATCTGCTCAGAATCAACTCTATATATTTATTACTCATATTCAAAGCCTCGTGTACAAGGCTCAGATACTAAGGTTATATCTAAAGAAAGGGGATTCATAGCGTTCATTGTGGTTTTGATCAATTAGAACACACTTTGTTCCTCTTGTTTTTCAATATAATGCAGTCACAAATCTTGACATTCTCTATTTCAAATTCTAACGACATGATACCAATATTGATATGAAAATTGCTTACTTTTTTCATGTCATTTGACAATTCTTCGTTCTCTCCCATGTTGCAGATTTTCTTTGCTGCAACCAGTAATCTTCTTGCTGATGCTTTTAAAGTGTCCAAACTTTCTTTCGTTTCGTCCAACTGATTCTATAAATATAATTATCATTTAAATAAAACTGCTGACTTTTAACACATTATCTAAAATTTTCCCTACGTTACAAATCTTTGTTTTGATGGTGGTCATCTTAAAATTCGAAATGAGTTACATGAAAATACCATAGACAGCTACATTGAATCTGATGAAGAAATTTTATTTCATGAAGAAATCTCAAGATTAGTGAAATCCCCAAATTAGCTTTTCAAGTGTTATGGTTAGCAAATTCTCAAGATTAGTGAAATCTCAAGATTAGCGAAAAATCAAGATTAGTGTCCTCTCACCCTCATTTGCTCCAGTTCTTGGGTGGCATCTCTCATATCGTTCTCCATTTTAAATTTATTCTTCAATTGTTCAGCCAATCGCAAACAAGTTCGTGTTTTCTGGATACTCAGCTCTGCGCAGCTCTGAGTGAAGGTGCGCATTTTGAGAAGGTTGCCAACTTTCCGTTGATTTATATCCTGGACTTTTTTGGCAAATGCTCGTCGCTCTTGATCAATATCAATGAGTTCCCTCTCATATCGAATAATGCTGTAAAATATTTTGAAGAATTTATTGAATTTATGTTGAAACAGTAAGCAACAAAGACATAAATGTGCATAATTGCATCAATGGGTTATCAATTACATCATAATTGCATCAATGGGTCATCAATTGCATCATAATTGCATCATTGGGTTATCCTAAATTGTATTGTATTGTATTTTGTTTACCACCAATGAAGGTGAGCAATACCTCTTGGGTATATCCCGTATATATACGGTCGTAATTTACGTAATTATCCTGGAAGATAGACCCAGTCCCTCCTTGAAGGAGCCCTGTGTTCTTTTACATAGACACACAAGTACACACCACAGCCTTTTGTACGAGTTGTGAACCACTCAGTCAAACACCCTGAAGTACTTTATGCAAACAAGCAAATTAAGTCTTGCCTGAACCAGGGTTCGAATCCGGGACCTATTGCGTAGGAGGTACACGCTCTACCGCTGAGCTATACGGGTGGATTTTGATTACAAGGATGCTCAATAGTAATCAATTATGTTTCAAGAAAAAAAGGGGAAAATTCTGAAAGGTCACATCAAAAAGCATCCCCGAAAATTGCAAATCAATTCATAAATACACAATACCAGAAAAAGCCAAGCTTTAACCGAGAGTACAGAAAGAAGCGAGAGACCCTTGGACAAAGGAGGACTATGGGATAAATAGTACAGATATTGATATTCCATAATAATTATCATGGGACATCATGTGAAAATAAAAAATCATAATCAGTAGAATATCTTATTGATCAAAGGTAATCTAAATAACTATGATACAAATTTCAACATTTTGATCCATAAAGATAATAGTGAAGCATTTAAGTCTTTAGTTGGTTAAGTCGACATGATTTCAATGCGCTTGTTACAGCATTCTCTCTAATGAGATAAAACTGGTAACATAATCAATATACCTAATGCCTATGAGCACAGAAAGAGAATTCTCCTTTTTTACAACAACAGAATCAATACAGGTATTGGAAATGATGATTGCTACTACTGCCGAGAAATCAGCCATGTTCGATTTTTGTTTGCCAGAAAAAAATATTAAAGGCATTGGATAAAGAACAATGAACAGATTAATTTAGGAGGTGTTTATTAATCATAGGATGTTAACTCTAAATAGTATAGTAACTGTCTATTAAGGCATATGTTCATGGAACCATTTTTGAAACAAATTGCTATACCTGCACATGTTATTTTCTGGTACAAAATAAAGTATGAGTCTGCTTCCTTAATTTTTTTTCTATATAAGTGAATCAGAAAAGAATTGTATATTTGAAATATTGTTAAGAAACTTGAAAAGGAAGGAAAAATGAAATGGCGGCCATTTTGAATGTGTTTTTTCTTGAAATATCAGCATCTCTTTAAACCTATTACCAGGCTTACTAAAAGAAGAGAATGTAATGACACTTTGCTGAAAAAAAAGCAAGGAAATATAAACATCCCTCCATACTTTATTTTGTACCTGAAAGAAAACATGGGCATGTATAGCATTGTTTCAAAAATGGATCCATATACATGTGCCTTAAAGGGAATACAAATTATATATTCGTTAAATAGGAAAGTTCGATAGAACAGAAGGACTTTATTGCCAGTTGTTATTGGAAACAACATGATCAATACTGATATCGGAAATTTTGAATAGCTGCCACTTCCAAGAAATCAGCCATGTTTGATTATTATTTGCTGTCAAAAACAACATATAAAAATGCACAAAAACTAATCTAATGCACTTAGGAGGTGTCTATAATTATAGGATGTACGACTATGAATAGTATTAATTTATTCAGGTGAATACAAAATAACTCAGAAGATGAAATAACTCATAAGTTAAATGAACTATATACCATAATCTCCATGGAAACCAGGAAAAGTGAAACTAGCAGTCATAGAAGCCGTAGCTCTGGTAGTGACAGTTCAGACTCAGAGAGTTCAATAATTCCAGGATGGCTATTTACTATGAACAGCTCTATTAGTAGTAATGGTAGTGACAGATGGTCCAAAGAGAGTAGTAGTGAGAATAGTTCAGACTCAGACAGTCCAATAATTCCAGGATGGCTATTTACTATGAACAGCTCTATTAGTAGTAATGGTAGTGACAGATGGTCCAAAGAGAGTAATAGTGAGAATAGTTCAGACTCAGACAGTCCAATAATTCCAGGATGGCTATTTACTATGAACAGCTCTATTAGTAGTAATGGTAGTGACAGATGGTCCAAAGAGAGTAGTAGTGAGAATAGTTCAGACTCAGACAGTCCAATAATTCCAGAATGGCTATTTACTACGAACAGCTCTAGTAATAGTAATGGTAGTGACAGATGGACCAAAGAGAGAAGTAGTGAGAATAGTTCAGACTCAGAGAGTCCAATAATTCCAGGATGGCTATTTACTATGAACAGCTCTATTAGTAGTAATGGTAGTGACAGATGGTCCAAAGAGAGTAATAGTGAGAATAGTTCAGACTCAGACAGTCCAATAATTCCAGAATGGCTATTTACTATGCACAGCTCTAGTAATAGTAATGGTAGTGACAGATGGTCCAAAGAGAGTAGTAGTGAGAATAGTTCAGACTCAGAGAGTCCAATAATTCCAGAATGGCTATTTACTATGAACAGATCTAGTAATAGAAGTTGTAGTGACAGATGGTCCAAAGAGAGTAGTAGTGAGAATAGTTCAGATTCAGACAGTCCAATAATTCCAGAATGGCTATTTACTATGAACAGCTCTAGTAATAGTAATGGTAGTGACAGATGGTCCAAAGAGAGTAGTAGTGAGAATAGTTCAGACTCAGAGAGTCCAATAATTCCAGAATGGCTATTTACTATGAACAGCTCTAGTAATAGTAGTTGTAATGACAGATGGTCCACAGAGAGTAGTAGTGAGAATAGTTCAGACTCAGAGAGTCCAATAATTCCTGAATGGCTATTTACTACGAACAGCTCTAGTAATAGTAATGGTAGTGACAGATGGTCCAAAGAGAGTAGTAGTGAGAATAGTTCAGACTCAGAGAGTCCAATAATTCCTGAATGGCTATTTACTATGAACAGCTCTAGTAATAGTAGTTGTAATGACAGATGGTCCACAGAGAGTAGTAGTGAGAATAGTTCAGACTCAGAGAGTCCAATAATTCCTGAATGGCTATTTACTATGAACAGCTCTAGTAATAGTAGTTGTAATGACAGATGGTCCACAGAGAGTAGTAGTGAGAATAGTTCAGACTCAGACAGTCCAATAATTCCTGAATGGCTATTTACTACGAACAGCTCTAGTAATAGTAATGGTAGTGACAGATGGTCCAAAGAGAGTAGTAGTGAGAATAGTTCAGACTCAGAGAGTCCAATAATTCCAGAATGGCTATTTACTATGAACAGCTCTAGTAATAGTAGTTGTAATGACAGATGGTCCACAGAGAGTAATAGTGAGAATAGTTCAGACTCAGACAGTCCAATAATTCCTGAATGGCTATTTACTACGAACAGCTCTAGTAATAGTAATGGTAGTGACAGATGGTCCAAAGAGAGTAGTAGTGAGAATAGTTCAGACTCAGAGAGTCCAATAATTCCTGAATGGCTATTTACTATGAACAGCTCTATTAGTAGTAATGGTAGTGACAGATGGTCCAAAGAGAGTAATAGTGAGAATAGTTCAGACTCAGACAGTCCAATAATTCCTGAATGGCTATTTACTATGAACAGCTCTAATAATAGTAATGGTAGTGACAGATGGTCCAAAGAGAGTAATAGTGAGAATAGTTCAGACTCAGACAGTCCAATAATTCCTGAATGGCTATTTACTATGCACAGCTCTAGTAATAGTAATGGTAGTGACAGATGGTCCAAAGAGAGTAGTAGTGAGAATAGTTCAGACTCAGACAGTCCAATAATTCCAGAATGGCTATTTACTATGAACAGCTCTAGTAATAGTAGTTGTAATGACAGATGGTCCACAGAGAGTAGTAGTGAGAATAGTTCAGACTCAGAGAGTCCAATAATTCCAGAATGGCTATTTACTATGAACAGCTCTAGTAATAGTAGTTGTAATGACAGATGGTCCACAGAGAGTAATAGTGAGAATAGTTCAGACTCAGACAGTCTAATTATTCCTGAATGGCTATTTACTACGAACAGCTCTAGTAATAGTAATGGTAGTGACAGATGGTCCAAAGAGAGTAGTAGTGAGAATAGTTCAGACTCAGAGAGTCCAATAATTCCAGAATGGCTATTTACTATGAACAGCTCTAGTAATAGTAGTTGTAATGACAGATGGTCCACAGAGAGTAGTAGTGAGAATAGTTCAGACTCAGAGAGTCCAATAATTCCAGAATGGCTATTTACTATGAACAGCTCTAGTAATAGTAGTTGTAATGACAGATGGTCCACAGAGAGTAGTAGTGAGAATAGTTCAGACTCAGAGAGTCCAATAATTCCAGAATGGCTATTTACTATGAACAGCTCTAGTAATAGTAGTTGTAATGACAGATGGTCCACAGAGAGTAATAGTGAGAATAGTTCAGACTCAGACAGTCTAATTATTCCTGAATGGCTATTTACTACGAACAGCTCTAGTAATAGTAATGGTAGTGACAGATGGTCCAAAGAGAGTAGTAGTGAGAATAGTTCAGACTCAGAGAGTCCAATAATTCCAGAATGGCTATTTACTATGAACAGCTCTAGTAATAGTAGTTGTAATGACAGATGGTCCACAGAGAGTAGTAGTGAGAATAGTTCAGACTCAGACAGTCTAATTATTCCTGAATGGCTATTTACTACGAACAGCTCTAGTAATAGTAATGGTAGTGACAGATGGTCCAAAGAGAGTAGTAGTGAGAATAGTTCAGACTCAGAGAGTCCAATAATTCCAGAATGGCTATTTACTATGAACAGCTCTAGTAATAGTAATGGTAGTGACAGATGGTCCAAAGAGAGTAGTAGTGAGAATAGTTCAGACTCAGACAGTCTAATTATTCCTGAATGGCTATTTACTATGAACAGC